GCTGGCCTACGGGAGGCGGGGGGGGGGGGAGATTAATGCTTTGCCAACCCTCTCTCTGTCCAAGGTGGCTCGTGAGTAGAGCGAGCGGTTTGGAAGGTTTGCGAGTTAACATCCTGCTTTTGGGGTTTATTCGGTCCATCAGCCCTGTGGCATCGATCAAATGAGTGTAGCTTTGTGGGGAAAGTCAACAGTGGTTGTCCTATGGATAGACTAACCCTCCCCACCATGGGAACGTGGAATTTCCGACGCTGGCTCAGGGCTATAAACGGCATGATGTACCGCCTACCGATTTCCGAAGCCGATCATATCGATATGTACGTGTTTTTTTTATGAAAAAATGTTGACAAAAGTTTTGCTTTGAAAATCGTTACACGGTGGAAAGGGTTTCAAAGTCTTAAGCCTGCTGCTAAGGTGTGGGGTAGGGTTGGCAAGTGTGGAGTTGTGGTTGTGATATTGCGACACTCGCAGAGTTATGCTGCACTTGCTGTTACGTTTTATTGTTACAAAAGGTTTATGTACGGTGAGAAATTACCATTGTGGAAAACGTGTTTGAAATGAGCTGTTTAAGGAGATGACATTTAACTGTTTTTTGAGGATTATCATGGACGAGAGAGACATTTTTTTAAATGCTGGAGCTAGTGTTTAAATAACACAGTGATGTAGTTTTATTTGAAAGTTTAAATATGAAAACAAATAATTAAAAGGGGGGAGGGAGGGGGGTGTAGTAGGTATGTGCTGAGACTTTTTAAAAATAATGTTAATGGTTATAAAAAGGGGGCCTACTTATAAATGAGACGCATGCGGCTCAATGGAGCTGCCCTGCACAGAGGTATGACATTAGAATGTCAGTGTGGTGTATGAATGCTGTGCGCATACATGAAGAGGTAAAAGAAGGCCCTTCTAGTCTTGGCTTATGTACGGTTGCAAACTGGGACCCTAACAAAAGTGAAAGAGGACATTCCATGGGATGGCTGCATAGCCTGAGCCTAACTGCCACATCCAATTACCGAACCATCTCTACAGAATCGAGGTGTATTTGGTTAAAGCCCAGAGTAGCTGCTAAGAGTGAAACGATTGTCACGTGTAGTGAGTTTGACGGTCTTGGCTCCTTCACCAACGGCCACACGAAACATCCCAGCTACAATAAATCGGTGTTTGCACTTTGCTTCCAAATTACCCAGTTTATGCGGGTTCATTAATCATCCACGCGTATAGGGAGAGGAGAAAAAATTAACCCGTAAAAACAAAGTTTTTCACTATAAATCCTTTATATGCGTGTTCAATGGGCCACAACCCAGCCCACATTGGTCTTTGAAACGGGCGGCTAGAGTCCTCTCGTCCTCTGGCTTGAGATGGCTGCCACCTATGGGTCAGATGATTGCCTGCCACCATTAAGCAATTGGTAATTAAATATATTTTTTTTTTACCTAAAAAGTGTAAAATTTAGGAAAAATCTTTTCACGAAAAGAAATTGTCACGCACAACGAGTCTGTGTGCAAAATGTCAGCTCGATTGGATCACGGGAAGTGGGTTAAAAAACGACCGAAAAATGTGCACGGTCGTAAGCGCGCAAGCAAGCAAGCAAGTGAACTTAATATAAAGGATTTAAAAAAACTGTCAGCTGCACACATTGCCTGGGGGTTTCAGGTGAAAGATGCGGATTAAAAACGATAGTGGGGAACGGGGGAATTCTGGTGGAATGCGTTTATGGGACTTGTTGGTGCATCTGCTGTCTGCCCGTGGCTCTGGCATGTGAGTGAAGACCATTTTTGTTGTTTTCTATTACGCTAAATTACATTGCAACGTAGGTTTGCGAGCGATTCTGACTTGAGCTTCCCCCCACAGCTCAATTTAGCACCGCAGGACGAACACAATAAATGCACCGATGGCTTTTCATTCGCAGATATTGAGCAGTGTGGTAATGAAGCTGTAGAGCTTCGTCCATCACTGCTCCGTGCAGTCATCGACGGAAACATCAAGCCAGTGGTGTCTGGGCAAAGAACACCCCCATACATTTTAAAAAATAATTTAACCTTTCATTTCACCGGGTAAAGCCCACTGAGATATATAGCTATTTTTTCAAAAGTAACCTGGCCACAAATGATAGCTCAACGAAGTGGCTTATCACGTGGACATTTATAGCTTCCAGATACTATAAAACGCATATTTTTAAAAGTGGAGGGGAGAACCCGGATGTTCACACGACTTCGAGGAGAACATGCAAACTCCAAATATACAGGCATCAAGGTTGGGATCGAACCCACGACCTCCTGTACACAAGGCGAGGTAGTTAACATCTCACCACCGTGGCGTTCATTTGAACGATAACTATTTGGACAGCATTACATTGAAGATCTTGTCAATAATGTGTATATTTGCCTGAATCTATCACCACCAGACTTAATAATAAGTCCTTAGCTCTCCGATGTGTTTTTTAGTTGCTGTACTGCGCGTTGTCCAGTGCTGCTCGACTTTTCACTCCACGTGATTGGAGCTTTTTGATGAAATTTAGTTCCTGAAGAGGCTCCCAGCACATGCAGAGAAATGTTGGGAATGGCTCGCCGAGTTTCGGGACTCATAAGACCCCATCTTCTTGCAACTGGAATGTTTTGTTGAGTAAATATTCAGTCTTTAATAGGTGAAAATGCCCTCTTGTTAATTTTCTATGTGCTGTCATGAAATATAAAAAGGTCACTGTCTTCTTTTCCAGACTGGTGGACTGGATCAGGTTGTTGTAAACATACCACCCCTCAGTTGGGCTTGCAAGCTTTTGTGGGTTTACCCCCACAACGCTCGAAAGATAAAAACACTTTTTGACGCATGTACAACTGCCGTGCGTGTATCAGTCCATGGGCCAGAGCAGACATTGGTACCACCTAAAGTATCACAACTCTAGGAGTCCCGACTCATGCGTCTTCTAGCTAATAAGAGTGAATTAATCGATAATGCACTCAATTTGAAATTGGTTTGCACGTAATTCAGTGTCGTCAGTCACATTTAATAAATTGGAACCGCTGAAGGGATATGCCACCTTCAGGTTGTACGGACAAGTGAAATATCTGCAAATGGTCCCATTTACACTATGGGAACCTCATTTGCCAGTAAAAATATTTTTTTTTTACTCTTCTATCTGGCAACAAAACTGACACCAAAAGGCGTCATCTGGTCCAACCCATGTGAGACTAGGCTCTAAGGAAAGCTGTCTCGGGTGTGGACCAATCAACTTCAAGGACAGTGCACATTATCAGTTATGTTCTTTTGTTTGTATTATGACTGCAGGTATTGCGGTCTATGCAAACATGACTCCTTGTAAAAAGGTGTCAGTTTTGTTGCCAGATAGAAGGGTAAAAAAACCAATTGGCCCCATTTACTTTACTCGTATCTGTAGCGTGCGATGCCCTCCTGCGCTGCCCTCTGTGCCCCAGAAACAATCGAAGGCGCACCTGGTGGACTGACTCGTGCTGTGGATCGCACGTGGCCAGACCACCATGTTCTCGCCGTGTTAAAGTTGGCCAACTCATTCCTTTCCCCCCCCCCGAAATGCTTCGCACATTCCGAATTGACTGCATTGTGTTCGTGACAATTCCAAGTGCCTTATTGCATGACGGTGTTCTGTTGTTGTCGACGCATCCGTCCTTTATGTCCGTTGTTACTCGTTGCGTTTGCTTCCTCCCCCCCCCCCCCCTTTTACCTCCCCTAGTGTTTTATAATCGTAACAGGCCGACGGCGGAGTTTTCCTCCGAGAACTTGGAACGCTCGTGACACGTGCATTGCGGCATGGCCGTGTAACATGCATTGCGTGATAAAAAAAAACATTGTTATATGAATTCACTTTAAAAGTTTGCTATTAAAATGTTGGTGAGAAAATGTGTGTGTCCCCCCCCCTTCCCTTACCAGACACGGATCATAATAAACACCTTATGACGGGCGCGTTTTTCACGGTCGATCAAGCACTCAGGAGGCGAGGGGCCAGAGCAACAACACACACAGCGTGGGGGTTGATAATCATGAGGTCACGCGGTTGGGGTCACATCACAGCGACACGCCAAACCCGAAGATTACCACCGGTTCTGGTTTTCCCAGGATCGTGTCCTCCTTAAGGTGGTAGCCCTGTGAATTATACAATTCTACTAGCTTTACTAGCCGGCTTCGCCCGAGACTTGGATTCTTGTCTTGGATTACAACACGGCCTAATCCAGGGGTCGGCAACCAAAATAACAAGAAGAGCCATTTCTTTCCAATTCGGTACAAAATTCAGTATTTCAAGAGCCGCAATGCATCTGAGTACATACTCATTGTCAAGAAGCAGCCTGTAAAGAGCCGCATGCGGCTCCGGAGTCGTAGGTTGCCGACCCCTGGCCTAATCGGAGGGTGGGGGGGGGGGATACGTGACGTTCGCAGGCACACTGCGTGACGCTTCCGCATGCGGGTGACATAGATGTGACATTATAGATGTGACGTCACTGCTCACTTGGCGTGCAAAATATATCCATCATTGCGCCCCCCCACCCCCCCAATTTACAAAAGTCTATTTTTATACTTTTTGCATTGTGTCCAGTCTGGAGGCTACCCACACGCCAAATTTCAAGTTTGTTGCATGTCGGGAAGTTTGCTAAACATTTAGGACACATTCACAAATTTCCCTTTTTTTTTGTATTTGTAAAAATTCCCTCCGGGTTTGTCGGCAGCGTCATATTACACCACACGAGACAATGCGTGCATACAAAGTTCTCGCTCTCCCGGTATTGAGAGACGTTAACTCGTGATATATTGAACCCCACTTGTGTGTATGTCGCGTTCCTAAGTGACTTTACACACAATCCACATCTCGCACTGGATGTCCGTTATTCGAAGCAAATCCTTCTCGTCGCTTTAAACGCAACCTTTCGTGAAACGCAGAGGTAACGAACCGCAGGACGATTCGGTTGATTGAGAATGAAGTTGCCAAATAAAACCATCTCGACGACCCAGGACAAAGGGATATCCCCAAGGAGAGATGGAGCGACGCCTCGGGGTCGTGATGATGGGGCTTCACGGAAGTGCATCATTTATTGGATGTGTACAGACCTTTAACACAACGATTCGTTCACAATCGGTGTTTAGCAACACACATCAAGACGGGTGTACAGCCGTGGACTTAGACACGGACAACAATGACTCCTTCATAGCAGCCTGTGACATCCCATGAGGATGGCTTTCCAAACTTCCCACGGTCCGTCATCCCACATTTGCCATGTTGCTGTTACGCGCTGTATGCGCTCTGATCGGTAAGCACGCTCCACGTAACCTTGAGGAATTATTCTAACCGACGGAAATCTCGTTTGTGCGTCTGGTGTGCCACAAAGAGTGCCGATTCAATGAATATATCGAATAAACTTAGGGGAATCGGGCTCTGGTGCAGTGGTTAACGCCCTGCTTTGAGTGAACCCTGCACCATGAGGAGTTCAATTCCTCGGCCTTGGCTAACATTAGTGGTGAGTGGTCCGAACCACCTCACTTCAACTCGTACTTCTGATCTCGGCGAGGGGGGGAATCCTGCATCCAGTGAATTTGCAAAAGGCTGTCAGTCACGTTGGCCATGTTCATTAATCATTGGGTACATGGAGCATGTGTTGAGGACTTGTATTTGGAAACGGTTGATAAATGTGGAAATAACGGACCTCGTGGCTCAAGACGACTGGAATTTTGGAGACCATACTATAGAAAGTTTTTTTTTAAAAGCCACCCAAAACTCTGCTACGAAATTGTCAGTCCACCCCAAGTGCCAAGTCGACCGGCAGGCCCACGGCAAACCCAAGCCAATCCGACCACATTTCACCTGGAAGTCTGGAGAGGGATTACGTGGTTGAGAGCTATCTTGTGTTCATTTCAAATGGCACTCCAAACACAGGTATAACATAGAAAAGTCAAGTTACCATCAGATACAATGACGGTGGCAGTGCAGTCATCATTGCGGCTTAACAGCTGTCCGTTGTGGAGAACACAGCGCAACCGCAAATACCTACATTATAGTATCCCCGTACGGTTTTGTTGGTTGGCGAATTAATTCCTAATTGCGATGTAAGTGGTCGTGAAAATATTCAATACGATATGGAACGCTGCCTAATCTGGGTGCAGCAGGAAGTACGGACATCGCCGGCACGTGCGGCACTCGTGAATTTCGTAAACACTCAACGGGAAAATTGCATTTACATTCGCTCTGCTGACCTCACAAGAGGTCCACCACTTGTGAGCGGCTTGTCACGTTGGTGTCAGTGCCTGTCCGCACGATACATTCGGTTGCTTGACCAAGCAAGCTGGCTCGGGCTCTTCCGCTGCATTCCCAAGGATGCTGAGAACACCCAAAATAATCGGGAGGCTCCATTCTTTGATTAGCTTTAGCAGCTAGCTGTAAATCTCCATTCAGATAAAATGTTCTTTATTTACTTACATATTTATATAACATAGTTGTAATTCAAAATCACACAACTAAAAAAATTCCTGGGTGGGCATGATAAAGTTGACCATAAATATTGACTTTATTATTCTTTCAAACATTTTTTGTTCCTAGTATTATTCACTTCGAATTACATATATAACAAATCTCTTCTAAAACCGTCGCGTACCAAGCCCTTCCCTGGGTTCCAGAGCTGTGTTTTAGTGCTGTGATGCAGTCTTAGGGTGCGGTGCACAATGATGTGTATCCAGTGAGGGTACTCTGCTCCTGTGCTGGTTTTAGCGATGGGTATTGCTTTGTTGTTGTTGTTGTAGGGCTGGTTGTTGTAGGGCTGGTTGTTGCAGTGGTGTTGTCGAGATGGGTGTCATCAGGTCCTGCTAGGTTCCCGTCTCCGAAGTCTTCCGCTGATTTTCCATCTCCTGGATCTTTAGCTCCTCATCCAGACGCTCCTTTGCCCTTACCACCTGCCCAAAGATGAACATCTCACTTTTAGTCAGTGTTTGGCTAGAACCATGACCAGTCACATTTGTCTCTGCAATGCCAATTTGGACCACATAACAAAAGCCTTTAATTTAGGCTGAGTTGACCAAAGAGAGGTTCAGACCAGGTTGAGATATCAATTTTCACAGGTGGTGCACACATACGACCCTTTCGTCAATCCACTGCTGGATGAGGGCCTCTCTACCCAGTGTGGGTGACGGAGAGGACATTTTACCATGCTGGTCAGTGTGGGTACGTGAAGGCGAAGAGCACAGACAAAGAACGCATGAAATACAATCCAACGAATGATTATGCTGCGCGGTTATCGAGCGAACACCACGTAGCACAGCCCCATAATTGCCTATGACAACCTGGCATGCAAGGTGACCACCCATTCGAATGCTACCGAGGTTCAAACCTGCTTGGTGTCCGATTCGGTCATAGACACTGGCCGTGTGAATGACATCTCGGCAGTGTGGTTGTAACACGGCATTAAACCACTAACCCACCACTCTCGACGACAACGACAACAACCGGCATTCGCCACTAAGTGGCGGTTACTTCACCATGGCGCTTGTGCCAGGCTATGTGCATGTTAAGGCCACGTGCGGTGTCGAACGCCCACTGGCCAGAGGTCATGGGACAGACCCAGGTGCCATGGGTCGTCTGACTGAGATGACTGGCCGATGCACCACCTGTGTCCCCTATTGTGCCAACTTGCTGTGTTTTAGCCACCAGACACTCTGCTCGTTGTTGTGAGCGTCGCTCCTCTGCCCTCCATTGTTGTTGGAGGGCGACTGCCTCCAACTGCCCAGTAGCAGCATCCTTCACGAGCCTCCTCCAAAGAGGGCGATTTTGCCACCACTGGTACCTTTCATCGGCAAGTCCACTCAGCTCCACATCTTCTTGTACCCACATCACTCCATCTCTTCTCTAGCCCATACCACGCCCGGTTAGCTCCCTGGCCGAACAAAAGCTGTCTAGGCATGTGGTGGCTGGGCATGCGGGCTACATGACCCAGCCAATGCAGCCTTGCCTGCCGGAGGAGCTCACCGATGGGACATTGTCCAGATGTTTCAAGCATTGTGAGTTCACTCACACAATCCAGCCTGGATAAAGCCAGGATGGATCGTAGGCAGGACAGCCTAAATGTTTCTAACCGACGAAGATGTTCCATTAGGGGGGTCCACATTTCGCAAGCACGGAAGAAGGGAGGGCATGACCCTGGCCGAGATGACCCGACGCTTCGTGTGGAGCGACAGACCAGGTAGCTTCCACACAGTGTTACATAGCCGATCAAAAGATGCCACTCCGACTGATTCAGAGTGAGACCTCTGCTGTCAAACCGGAGCTGGTCATGAGCACATTGCCCAAGTATGGAAAACTCTCCACTCTCTCCACGACACACACACAACATGAAAACACAGTTTTAAGCCTCGACCGCACCCAAACCCACTCGTACCTTAGACTGCAGGTAGAAGGACCCTCCTGAAGCCTTGTCATTCATTTTAAACAGGTTCTCGTAATTCTGTCAAAAAGAAACGATGGTTGGCGGGAAGCATTATAACAGTGTGAGCAGATACACAACATAAACATAATTGGGTTTGGATGATTCAGGGAAGACTGCCTCTTATTTTCAGCCATTGGAAAACTAATTTATGTCACACTGCTTTTTGTGTTTAGTTTGTTGTCCTTCCGCGTACCTCCGATTAGCACGGTTGTCTACGTACGGTGCGAAAGAAGTTCAACATCCATACATATAACCCATCGGGGTTGTTTGAGCATCAGAGTTGTTTAACCATACTTCACCCTGTTGGTCAGTGCAGTTTGGATGATGGGGGAGGGAGCCACGTCTGGTACGGAGATATGAGATAGTCGCTGATGTGAGTCAGGACCGCGAATCGAAATCTGGTCTCTCAGCGTAGTGCGTTAACCAACCCATCACCGCTCCTCACAGAGCGACATTCGTAAGTGGATAAAGGAATAAAACTGCAGTGGCAGTGGTGAAAAAGCATGAATTCAACTAACGCTGACCACATTCATCGCTAACCCTGCCGTGACAGCTAAGTGTATCACAGGCTCATGTTTCGTGCAATGGCCCTCCAGAGTCACTCGAAAATGTGATCCTATTAAAGGAATCCCCCCGCTGTAAGTTGCCGCATCGTGCATCGTTCCATATATTACGTTGCCGATTCATGAAGAAAATATCTACGCAAGTGTAATGTTTTGCATATGCGTTCTATTAAAAAGATTGCGCAAAAATGTTGTCGCAATTTCTTAACGGTGAACATGGGGAGGCGAGCACGGGACTATTTCGCGACGTAATACTGTGCTGTACACGCATGGCGTGTACCACCGAAATTGCCTGCGCCACGTGTTCAGCCTCTATCTGCCAGCCAGCCATTTTGTCTGATCACTGTGCACGTGTTAGGCACAAATACTGTGTAGCGTGAGATGATAGTTGAAAAAAAGTACAAACGGGCTTAGAAAGACGAGTGCTAAAACGCAGAGTAAATGATGACGAGCACCTCTGGAAATGAAAGGCAATGGAAAAGTATTCATCGAGAGGTTAAATTGTAAGTTTTAAAGTGTTTTCAAGCTTGTAAGAAGGCAGTCGATATTGCCGGAACGTTCTGCAATGAAGCCAAAAGGTCCGGGAGAAGGGCTGGCGAAGAGCCCAGCAGAGAGCCAGCTCCCTCTGGTGAACATGCCTGTGGCTGCAGCGTCATCGTCAGATGAAAAGGAGTGAGATCCTGCCCCATTCAGCCGCATAACTCCACCACTGTTCACCCCAAGAGGCCTCAAGCAGGAAGCTCTTCAAACACCTCTCGTACGTTTTATCGAATTATTTGCATGTATTATTCGTTAAACGTACGTCAACTTAAGATCATATGCATTTTGTACACTTCATGACATTTAGTCACGGAATTTTTTTCCCCCCAGAAATGCCAGCTAGGGAATGCAGTACCTGATTTTAACAGGTCTATGTTAAAAGTTTACATTGAGTAGAAAAAAGGGAAAAACCTATTATCATATTTTGGTACCATAATATAGCTGCTCACCCCGAGCTCTCATTATTCTGATAATGCATTGTCTTTGTGCTGTACGCCTTTTGGCGTACTCTGGTCCTACACCGTTTTGAGACGAGGCTCCAAAGAAAGCTGTCTCTGGTGTGGACCAATCAGTTTAAAAGACAATGCATATATTATCAGAGTATGTTTTTTGTTTGCATTCTGACCACAAGAATTGTGGTTAATGCAGACATGATTCCTTGTAAAAGGTTTCAGTTTGGTGTTTTAACATCTTAACACCTGTTTTGTTGCCAGAAAAAAAGGGCAAAACCTATTCTCAAGTAATTAATAGTTTGTAAAATTTCTCAGGTACGCATGCATTATGTAAAGTGCGGGATTCCAGTGTTTGGCTGCAATACATTTCCACATAAGCCACTTCGTTGTGCTATCATTTGTGGCCAGGTTGCTTCTTAAAAGGAATTACAGAGCTCAGTGGGCATTATCTGGTGAAATAAAAAATAGTTACATTTATAAGGTGTCCACATTAGAGACTCGAGCCGGCCGAGTAAGCCTGTACCTTCTGTATCTCAGCGGCGTCCAACTTGCTCACGTTCAGGATGTCCTTGGCCTCCTGCAGGCCCAGACCGGTCATGCCGCTGGCGACGGCCGACTGCCTTCCAGCGCGGCCCCGCGCCTCCGCTGCTGCCCTGCTCGCTGAGCAACGCATGCACCCTCGTCACCGCAAGCCCACACTCGCGCCTGCTCTCCCCACGCATCTTTGCCATTGCTACATCCGAACCGGGGCCAGCGCAGCGGTCCTCGGGGTATATGGGTGGTTTTCCACTGCCTATTTGGCGTGCCGAGCCAGACATCCGAGTCTGGCTCGGCGGGGGTGGGGGGGGTCAAGCAGCCACCACGAGAGTGGAGTTTATACCTCTGGCTCAACAAGAGGTGTCAAGAGAAATGAGCAAGGACATCACTGAACAACACAAGCCAATTCGGAAACGCCGCACAACCCAATGCCACAGTAGTTACCTTTCTGTTTAGTGCTCAGCTGGTACTGGCTGGCACGTGACGTTTCTCTGCAGCATGGAGACCCAGCTAACGAGAAATTAGCTTTGCTTGCACACTGCTCAGTGTTACGTTGTTGAGTGTGATTTTCAATTTTTTCAAACTTTTATGTTTTAAGGGTCACCACCCTGCTCCCCCCACCCCACTTAAAAAAACACATCTATATAACACATGATATATCCACCCAGGTTATTTCAAGAACACGCTGTAAATGACTTTATTACTACCTGCAAATTCCTGGCGCACGGCCCGTGAGAACGCTTTGCCAACCACCTGAGCTCCCAGCATGACGATCTGAGCCAGGTAGCGAGCCTGTGTGAGCACACGAAGCAGAGGGTGAGCTGCGAATGTCCAGCATACTTCTGTTGAATAAAAACTCCACGAGACTGATATTCTCCACATGGGATATCACGGGCCGAAAAGTTGTGGTTAGGAAATTTGTGTAGTGTGTAGGCATCATCAGTCTATCTACTGCTGGATGAAGCCCGGTATAGACCGTGCCAGTCAGTGTGTTTTTGTTTAATAACATATAGTGTGGTACATGTAGGTAGTGTGTTCTTCCCTGAACATTAACGCATCATAATGGAGATAAATCTGTGTAAGAAATCGCACGACTGCATCCTCGTCCAGAGAGGACGACGGTTACGTTTTTTTTCGTGGCTCGGTGCGAAGTTTAACATAACGTCTGGAATGCAAGCCCACAGCCACATCATTGGGGGCGAGTACTGCCAGCGAGCACTTATGTTGTGGTGGTATTTGTATTATCTGCCCCAGTGCCGAGGTTTTCAACAATGCAAGAGGCGCTCATTTAAGTTCCGAGTCGAGCTCGAGGTTTTAGCCCAGGAGCGAGCTCAACTAAATCCCCGTTAACGCATCCAGCACGCCCCGCGGCGGACCGCGCGGCCTAACCCGCTCCTACCGCCCAGGGGACGAGGAGAGCGGCGGGCATTCTAGTCGAGGGGGGGTGGGTGGGAGTGGTGTTTGACCGAGAAACCACTCCGGCTCTTCGAGAGGGGAGGAGGCTGGAGGGAACCCGCGTGTGAAGCGGCGGACTCACCATGACGCAGAGAGATTTGTCGGCTGAGGAGGTCACTGGTTTTGTGTCTCTCCCCCTCTCTGAATCGCGAGGTGCTAAAAGTCAAAAAGCGCCGCGCCGGGGCTTAAAGGACACACGCGGTGGATCGATTCGTCGATTCTCGCTCCAGCCCGCGGATCGTTGCGTCGAATCGACGGGCGCGCACTCTCGTTTGAGAGTTTTCTCTCGTTCGTTGTCGTTTAAAAATAAATAAAATTTTAAAAATCAAATTGGGGCGACGGACGGTGACGAGCGGCGGCGGGGAACTCGCCAACAACGACGACAACAACCAACAACAAAAATCGAGACGAGGAATCGACCGGCAAGTTAATCGTAATCGCCGACTCACTCGCTCGGGCCGTGCCGGAGATTCTTTCCCGTAATCTCGGGCGAGAGAACCCCGATGATTAAAGTGAGACGCACCACAAACTGGCCGCGCGGTCGCCAATTAAAGCCCTACAACTCTGACTACGCGCTGATATGAACAAATAGACCGGATTACAAGACGATTTCCCGCAACTTTTTTGCTTTAAAATCCACGCGAAAGGCGCCTTTCGTATAGTCGGGGGGATACGGTAACAGCCCGCGTGGTGCCGGCGATGAATCGATTAATCGATTAATCGAAATCGTTCGTGGCGTTCGTCGATTACGAATCGTGAGTTTGCTGTTGGTCAATGTGCGATTTGCGACTCGTGTACTAAATAAAAATGATTTAATTAATATCCGGACGTTGTACCAACCCCCAAGAGGGCTGCGTGGGGAACGGGGGAGACGGGCGGCAAAAGGGGTTCGATTGTTTCATCTTCGATCACCCACCGATTTGTAATCGGATCGATAACGGAATCGGTGTGCAGGGGGCAGGAATCGACCCGCGCTGTCAAGGGCGCGCACTCAAACTGCGGCGGGGAACTCCGGAATCGATTCGATTCGGAATCGAGTCGCGGCGAATCGAGTTCCGACGAACGGGGGAGGGGGGGGGCAGCGTAGGGTACCCCCCCCCCCCCGCTGTGGGTGGGGGCTGTGGGGTGGGGGCTGTGGGGTGGGGCCTGTGGGGTGGGGGGCTGTGGGGGTGTGGGGTGGGGGCTGTGGGGTGGGGTCTGTGGGGTGGGGGCTGTGGGGTGGGGGCTGTGGGGTGGGGTCTGTGGGGTGGGGGCTGTGGTGGGGGCTGTGGGGTGGGGTCTGTGGGTGGGTCTGTGGGTGGGGGCTGTGGGGTGGGGGCTGTGGGGTGGGGGGCTGTGGGGTGGGGGCTGTGGGGTGGGGGCTGTGGGGTGGGCTGTGGGGTGGGGTCTGTGGGGTGGGGGCTGTGGGGTGGGGGCTGTGGGGTGGGGGCTGTGGTGGGGGCTGGTGGGTGGGGCTGTGGGTGGGGGCTGTGGGGTGGGGCTGTGGGTGGGGTCTGTGGGGTGGGGGCTGTGGGTGGGGCTGTGGTGGGGTCTGTGGGTGGGGGCTGTGGGGTGGGGCTGTGGGTGGGGTCTGTGGGGTGGGGGCTGTGGGGTGGGGGCTGTGGGGTGGGGGCTGTGGGTGGGGGCTGTGGGGTGGGGTCTGTGGGGTGGGGGCTGTGGGGTGGGGGCTGGGTGGGGCTGTGGGGTGGGGGCTGTGGGGTGGGGTCTGTGGGGTGGGGGCTGTGGGGTGGGGGCTGTGGGTGGGGGCTGTGGGTGGGGGCTGTGGGGTGGGGGCTGTGGGGTGGGGGCTGGGTGGGGTGGGGGCTGTGGGGTGGGGTCCTGTGGGGGTGGGGGCTGTGGGGTGGGGTCTGTGGGGTGGGGTCTGTGGGGTGGGGGCTGTGGGGTGGGGCTGTGGGGTGGGGTCTGTGGGGTGGGGGGCTGTGGGGGTGGGGGCTGTGGGGTGGGGGCTGTGGGGTGGGGTCTGGTGGGGGTGGGGGTCTGTGGGGTGGGGGCTGTGGGGTGGGGCTGTGGGGTGGGGGCTGTGGGGTGGGGGGCTGTGGGGTGGGGGCTGTGGGGGTGGGGTCTGTGGGGTGGGGCTGTGGGGTGGGGGCTGTGGGGTGGGGGCTGTGGGGTGGGGGCTGTGGGGTGGGGGCTGTGGGGTGGGGGCTGTGGGGTGGGGGCTCCCCCCATCATCGTTGTTGGGGAGTTACATGTTGTGGGTATTACGTCATTGCGTTGTAGCGTGACGTAATTGCAATTTGTAAATGACGTCATTGCTCCTTGTTCTTTCTGCACTACGTCATTGTTCTATGGGCACGAGGCCATTGCTCTTTGAGCACGAGTTTTGCACGTGGCTTTTGAACGTGGCCGCCGGTCTCGGGACAGGAGGCTGCTGTCGTTATTCAAAGACTCTGGAACAATCGTACCCCGTGTCACCCTGGCCCAGAGTCACGATTAAAGGTTGGGGGGCAGCGAGGTGCAGCAGCTGGGGGCAGCAGCGGAGTGCGGGTCAAGGTTAGGAGTTGGGTCCGTCGTGGTTTTTTGGTCAAGAGGAGTTTTGAGCTTTCAGAGTTTGTTTTGTAGAACCAGCTGAGGATCGGAGAGACCAGAGTGAGCGAGAGTCGGGGTGGAGGGACCGTCAATGTAAAGAAGATTCGGTTTTAGCACGGTTGGCTAAAAAACTAAACCGATTCGAACGTACCTATGCAAAAGAAGTTAAGTGTACAGTACATATAATCAGGGCTCGGAGTAAGGGGTTATTTAAGGTTAGGGGTTAGGAGCTGGGTTTGTTCGGTATAAGGGGGCCATGGTTGTTAGGCTTTGCGAATGAACGTCACGTTCCATTCTGTCGTGGCCAAATGAAAAACCGCTGTTAAGATTTTCAGTGAGAATGGATTTAGCCGTTCAGCTGCTTCGAGAGATGTCACAATAGTGCTGCACAATTACTGGTAGGAACCCACTGATTCCACCAGAACAAGTTGGAATTCTTTGGGGCTGCCCATAAATGACGTCACGCACCTGGGGGGGGGGGGGGGGTCAGACATTTGTGACGATGTGTGACAAGGGGGGGGGGGGGGGTTGAGAAATGTGACGTCACATCAAAATGCGCAACTTTAAATAAATATAGACAACACGTTCTACTTAATTAAATTGACTTTTTTATAAATGTTTTCTCCTACAACATCAGAGTGCAGCGCCACATTAAATACGCACTACAATGACAATAGTTTAAAGCGCTTTGAAGCATGTTTTATTTTTTTTGCGGGGGAGGGGGGGCAAAGCATTGTGACGTCATATTTGAGGGGGGTCTGACTTTTTGTGATGCCGTGACAAAGTGGGGGGGGGGTCAAAAATCGTCCAACATCGCGTGAATATAATAGACGTGGGTGTCCTGTGCTTTGTCAATCCACGACAAAATGAAGGCTACCCCACGTTGTGCCGGTCACGTGGGTTGTTTGACCATACTTCACGCTGGGAGGCCTGTGGAGATTGAGCAGGCCCCGGTTCAGATATCAGCCCTGGCTGGGAGTCAAACTCAGGTCGCCAGGTTAATAAGTGCAGCTCCTTTCAGCAATGCACCCACACGAATTACAGAAGCATGGATTGTTGATTTCTCACGGGCACGATGCTATTGCGAGCTTGGACAATAATACGGGGTTTCCCTCCACATTTACAAACATGTGTTTAAGAGTATTTGGCTGCTAGGAATTTCCACATGAACCACTTCATTCGGCTATCATGTGGCCAGATCGCTTCTGAAAAAGATAGAAATATAGTTTAGTGGGCCTTACCTGGTAAAATAAACAAAGGTTTTGTTCAGTTTGATACGGATCAATGCGTCGATACACTCCAATGAACGACACTGCGATCGGTGGCGGAATTCACGTCCGTTTTATTGAAAACTTCTCAATCAACGAATGTCTTCACCTCGAGCGATGCAAGCCACGATGGAGTTGCATCTAAGGCACCTTTCACCACAGTACATATGAGGCGGTGGTCAAACTTTCCGACTCTGGTAAGAGAGCCGCAAGCCGAGATCTCCACGTTCGGCTGGTTGTTGCGGAGTTTGAAATTTAGAAATCTGCAGTGGTGCCCTGGGAGTGCCCCAATCCATCAGATTTGTTTGTTCCCGTTTGAACTGAACCTCTATTGGAAAAAAAAACATCTGCGTCTCTATCCTAAATAGAAAAATCTAACAGGTGACATTTCAGGCAATGGCTCTTCTTCATAACACATAAAAACATAACTTCTGAAGAAGGGCCATTGCCCGAAACGTCCCCTGTAATATATTTTCCTTTTAGGGCAGTGTTACCGACGAATTTGTTGGGAGTTTTTTTGTTATTTATTCTTTAGCACCACTGCCCTTGCAGCAGCAGCAGCATCACCAAATGATTCGTATCTCCATTAAACCGCACTTGAATTTCCCATGAGCCACGGTTTGACCACCCCTGCTTTAAATGAACAAATACAGCATTTCCATCACTCGGTAGTGCAAACTGATGTCTTTCTTTAAACAATGATCTGCAAGTTAACATTTAACCAACAGACTACTCTCACAGTGAACTTACACGCAGCTCAATTGAGCGAGAGATTTGACCACAAGTGTGTAGTCACACTGCAATATCACCTGAACTAATCAGTTAGCTGAAGATTAGCGTGGGGGAGGTTGGTGACCACCAGGGATGGAGAGGGGGGGGGGGTCCCGTGGGAAACAGCCCGAGGGATGCTCAACAGGAGCCTTGGCAGTGTTCCGAGTTTGGCCTCCCCCACCACCTGCCCCCCACCCCAAGATGCGCTCAGGCTGCGGCATGAACACCTGTGCAGGAGAAATTATGATCGTGCGCGGGGAAACGTCGGCCCCACGTTGCGGTGACGAATCATAAAATACTGCAACATGAAGCAAGCGTCTTACAAGTGCCTTATTGGTCGCGAAAGCCTACGTGTTAAAAGTGCCTTACTACCACCGCGTTGACCAGAGGTGCGGACATGTGACTTTGTTGCCTTGGTAACCTCTGGGAAGGGGGCACGGGGGCCAGTGGTCTCAACCATGTCGACATACCGACAATGTGGAGAGCCACTGGTCGAAAGGGTTGTAGGAAGTGGCACATGAGATTAAACATTTCACAGTACAGCACTGAGGTCCTGCCTGCCCAGTGCATATGATTAAAGCACCTGTGGCATTAATCAAATATTCATCCAGGAAATCCTTACAAGTTTCCAAAGACTTTTCAAAAGAGGGCCCCCCACTTGGCCAATTCCATGATTGCGTTTTTGGATTCATGTGAGAGAAAAAAAAGATTACCCAAAGAAAACCCACCACACATACAGGGGGCTATGACACTCAAAGCCCCACACAGAAGGATGCAAGAATCCATCCAGTAGTACGACAGATCCCTTGCAAGCCCAGGGGGTTTGGGAGTTTTATAAAGTTGCATGATGGACCAACCCTTTCCTCCAAAGTGCTGGATCACAGGCATGCGCCACCACCGTGGCCACTAAAGCTCAGTGGGATCCTCCCTCTCCGAGGCCTTGTGCGTGTCGACACAAACGGCTGCTCTCAGTTCGTGTCTGGCACGTGCCTTGATGCAAGACCCAGCATGTGACTGCGATGACAACGAACACGAAGAATAAAAAATGGAGGATCCGAGCGATGAGAATAACGGAGCATTGGAGGGAATGTACATGCACATATGCAGCCCGTCTGTCAATGCACTGCTGGATGAGGGCCTCCTCGTGTCGATCGTAACCGTGAAGGGAATTTTGACCATACATCACTATGCTGGTCAGTGCATACTGGTTAAGGTGGGGTGCGGGGGGGAGAGTACAGACAATGAAGCTTACTGCACTGCTCTTTACTTTCCACAGCGCCTCCTATGACCACACCTGTATTCTGTACACGGTGGTCGTCTGAGCATTATTCAGGTGAACCCTGTTTAACTTGCTAGATCTGGCAGGATCGGGCACACATCCTGAGTAATTTGCTCATAGGCTGGGAATGTACAGTACGCGAGTAATGGACACGTGCACACAAGGACTGCATTTCGTTTTTGCGTTCGCGCTGTTATCACCGCTTTTGGGTCATCCCGCGGCGTGCTGTGGGGGGGGGGGGGGGGGGGTGGGGAGACTCCACCAGCGCGTGGAGCGAAATGGAAGCACGTTGTGCCGAACAGCAGGAGCGCAAGCACGACGCGAACGCGGTGCCGGAAGAGCTCTGCGGTCATCGTAAACGACGAAGGCGAGCCGGGGGGAACGCGGAAAAAGGTGAGCGTGGCGCATGCGGCGCCGGCCCCCCGCGCGGCCCCATCACGCGTGGTTGCTGGCCCCATCACACGTGGTTGCTGGCTCCATCACGCGTGGTTGCTGGCTCCATCACGCGTTGTTGCTGGCTCCATCACGCGTTGTTGCTGGCTCCATCACGCATGGTTGCTGGCTCCATCACGTGTGGTTGCTGGCTCCATCACGTGTGGTTGCTGGCTCCATCACGCGTGGTTGCTGGCTCCATCACGCGTTGTTGCTGGCTCCATCACGCGTTGTTGCTGGCTCCATCACGCGTGGTTGCTGGCTCCATCACGCGTGGTTGCTGGCTCCATCACGCGTGGTTGCTGGCTCCATCACGTGTTGTTGCTGGCTCCATCACGCGTGGTTGCTGGCTCCATCACGTGTTGTTGCTGGCTCCATCACGCGTGGTTGCTGGCCCCATCACGTGTGGTTACTGGCCCCATCACGTTTGGTTACTGGCCCCATCACGCGTGGTTACTGGCCCCATCACGTATGGTTACTGGCCCCATCACGTGTTGTTGCTGGCTCCATCACGCGTGGTTGCTGGCCCCATCACGCGTGGTTGCTGGCTCCATCACGCGTGGTTACTGGCCCCATCACGTGTTGTTGCTGGCTCCATCACTTGTTGCTGGCCCCATCACGCGTTGTTGCTGGCTCCATCACGCGTTGTTGCTGGCTCCATCACGTGTGGTTGCTGGCTCCATCACGCGTTGTTGCTGGCTCCATCACGTGTTGTTGCTGGCCCCATCACGCGTTGTTGCTGGCTCCATCACGCGTTGTTGCTGGCTCCATCACGTGTTGTTGCTGGCTCCATCACGCGTTGTTGCTGGCTCCATCACGCGTTGCTGGCTCCATCACGCGTTGTTGCTGGCTCCATCACGTGTGGTTGCTGGCTCCATCACGCGTTGTTGCTGGCTCCATCACGCGTTGTTGCTGGCTCCATCACGCGTTGTTGCTGGCTCCATCACGTGTGGTTGCTGGCTCCATCACGCGTTGTTGCTGGCTCCATCACGTGTGGTTGCTGGCTCCATCACGCGTTGTTGCTGGCTCCATCACGTGTTGTTGCTGGCTCCATCACGTGTTGTTGCTGGCTCCATCACGCGTGGTTGCTGGCTCCATCACGTGTTGTTGCTGGCTCCATCACGTGTGGTTGCTGGCTCCATCACGCGTTGTTGCTGGCTCCATCACGCGTGGTTGCTGGCTCCATCACGTGTTGTTGCTGGCTCCATCACGTGTTGTTGCTGGCTCCATCACGCGTGGTTGCTGGCTCCATCACGTGTTGTTGCTGGCTCCATCACGTGTGGTTGCTGGCTCCATCACGTGTTGTTGCTGGCTCCATCACGTGTTGTTGCTGGCTCCATCACGCGTGGTTGCTGGCTCCATCACGTGTTGTTGCTGGCTCCATCACGCGTTGTTGCTGGCTCCATCACGTGTTGTTGCTGGCTCCATCACGCGTTGTTGCTGGCTCCATCACGCGTTGTTGCTGGCTCCATCACGCGTTGTTGCTGGCTCCATCACGCGTTGTTGCTGGCTCCCGGGGCCCGTGCCGCCCACACGCGCTCGCCCCTTATGTAGGTGGCGCACACCTCCAGGCTCTGGCTGATGAGCACAAAATCTAGACGGGGGGGACAGCATTGCGGACGAGATGTCGATTTCCTGCTTTGGGAATCGAGAGAAAGGTCGCAATTTTAATTTGGGTGCTGGCCCGCAACAGCCTCCTCTTTAAAATCGATATGATGATGTTATTACATACGAGCTGGTACCATGCGTTAGTTTTATACACTCCGGTGGTGATATGATTATTATTCAGTTTGTTTACCAACGAAAGTATAACAGAGTCTCAAGACTCATTTTCAAGAGGGTCCTACCAAGTCTTCGGAGTAGGGAGTGATATTACCACGTGTAATCCCAACAGAGAATACGCAATGTTATTGGTCGTCTTCGAAGTATTTTGTGATTTCAGTTCATGTGAGTTAGTAAATGCAGTGCTCCGTATCTCTCTCCATCCAGTTGAGAGCAAGCTGCATGCTCCCACTGAGCTTCCCCGTGAGAACGATTCGGGAGAGGTTGGTGACACACCAACACACACGTACGCGCTTACCTGCGTCCGTGCCGTAGTCGAGGGTGCCCTTGCGATCGCTGATGCCCAGCATCTGGGCCGGGTGAAGGGAGGCAGCCTCGAGGGCACACTCCACAGAGCACCCTGGACACGCGCACGTGGGCACACACACACACGTCAGCACTTGCTCGGCATTCTCTCTCGTCAACGGACTACTCAACACGTTTCTCAATGACACTGCCCCAAAATGAAAATGTGTAATGTGAGGATATATCCGGCTCAATGACGTATCACAACTCGTCATGATGATTGGCTCTGCCGGTCCTGGGTTATAGCCAATGGGGGGGAAGCCTAGGGGCGTGGCCCTGATGTAATGGAAAGGTGACAGCTGTAAGTAGGGGATTGGTTCTGCTGGCTTTGGCCACAGCCAATGGGGAGACGAGTCAGGGGCGTGGTCCCGGCAGCTTACGAGGGGGCCTGGAATATTCCATGGAGGCTAACCAGGATTGGTGGAAACGTACCACGTGACCCGGGTATTAAATAGGGGTGGAGACGAACGATACGTGGTCAGAACGGGAACGAACAGAGGAAGGGGGCCACGTGGGAGCGGGGCTCCGGGTTGCCACGTGGCGGTGCGTCTCTCTCTCTCTATCTGTCCCTCTCACGCTGCCTGCCAGCAGTGTGAAGGAAAGCTGTAATACAAGTTGAATAAAAAACGGATTCCAGAAGTCGCCTCAACGACCTTTATTACATATGTATATAAAAGGTGATGTTTCGGCCAATGGCCCTTCTTCGGCAAGATAGATTATTTATTGCCAGTCTGGCTCTGTGCGGGCCCCAGCATGGATCGGCTGCTCTTCCAATGCAGTGGAAAAAAAGGTATTTGCGGATGAAGAGGCGCAACGCCGGTTCAGTGGGGGTGCGCGTGGCGTCTCGCATTGCACGGGGTCCGCCGCTCGTCACCTGAGGCCTGCCGGAGGTGACGCACGCACATGTCCATCGTGGCGATGCTGCCGCTAAGGGTCTTGGTGCCTGCTCACACGCGCAACCACGCATTCGCACGCACGCACGCACGAGCGTTCACAGACGTAGGTTCACGTGCGCGCAGACTTGCGCCGCAAGAGGAAGGGGTTTTAAACGCCCGGCGACGGAAAGACGCGTGGAGGAGGTGCGGGCGCTACCGGCCACGTAGGCGTGCAGGCCCTCGATCTCGATGGTCTGCTGGCCCAGGTGGTGCCGCCCCTCGGGGAGACCCATCGCCATGATGGCGTCGGTGACCAGCACGAGGCCTGCGCACACACGCATGCACTACAATGGCTAGATGTGGTGTTATAGAGTGGGAGTACTTGCTATGTTTCACGTGGTACAAAGTATAGAGAAGGGTACTGGCTAGGTGCGGTCCCGGCAAGGGCGGTACCGGCTGGGTGTGCTCGATGGGCGATGCGCAGCGCGGCCGGGTTCGTGTGGATGCCGTCGGCGATCATGCCGTAGAAGACGCTTCGCCCGTTCGGCACGCGGTCGCTCGTCAGCAGTCCCACGATGCCCGGGTCGCGGTGGTGGAACTGCGCAGAGCAGCGACGATACGCTCAGCCGCCTCGCGGCACTTGCACGCGTCATTAACGGTTGAGGCTACGAGTTTGGCACGGAGCTCACGGTGACCACGAATTTGAAGTCTTTAAATCTTTAACATTGAAGGAAAACGCAATAGATCAGGTGCTGTGGTATGAACAAGCAATGTCAAGGCTGCACCTTCACTACCGTGCTAACATTGTAGCCTTAATCACGGTGAACGCGGGTAAACGGTCATCACGCAGGGCAACAGGGGACAGCCAACGCCGCAGCATGCGCCGCCTCACCGGCACCATGGCGTTGAAGAGGTGCGTGATGAAGGAAGCACCTTCCTCCACCACTGCTTCGGCCTGGCACAGGTTGGCAGTGGAGTGCCCTAGGGGAAAGACGGAATCACCTGGTGTCAGCAGGGAGGGACATGAGAGCCCAGCACAGCGACCACCACACACCAGTTGGTGGCCTTGCCACTACGCACCTCCGATTAGCACGGCTGGCTACGTACGGTGCGAAAGAAATTCAACATACGTACATACGCAACTTGAGCCGGGTTATCTGTTATTCATGCATGATAGTGCTGGAGGCGCGTGGCAATTTGGCGCCAGCCATCATAGAGTGCGGTCGTGCCGCTACAGTTCTCTGCGGTGAGTACAATGTCGAGAAAAAACACAACGGCGCTACACCTCTCGAAATAAAATCAACGCTGAACCGCTTGTGCGTTCCGAGATTCAGTGGTGAACGGGACCCACCCTGCAACTTGCAGACATCTCGGGTGCAGGATAGGGTCAAGCGAGCACTCCATGCATTCAAATTCTCATCGTCTCTATGGAGTGATGTCTTTGTATATATGTAAAGTGTGTGTGTCGCCTCTACAGTGGGCAGCCCAATCGCTGTCTCTGCGAGGAGTGCCGGCTCGTCGCACCCAGGGAGACGCGGACCCCGCGGCGTGTCAGCTCCCGCGTGACCTCTCCGCTGCGCGGCATCTCCGGCGCGAGCGTCACGAGCGCCACGTTCGCCAGGTCCCCGTACGTGTCCAACACGTCCTGCATGCCGCGGCGCTCGAAGCTGCGCAGCAAGAGCTCCGGGTGCGCGCCCTTCTTCTCCAAGCTGATGAACGGGCCCTCCAGGTGCACGCCTGCGCGCACGCACGCGTGTGGCGGTAAATTAGCGTGTAGGCCGAGCCTCGAAGCCAATTTTTGCTGAGACCGTGCGATTCGGAGCACTTTTCCAATCCGCTGACGGGTAAGGGCGCCCACGTACTGCACCACGCTGCTCGGTGCGTTTGGGTGAAGGGAAAGGCGAATTCAGATTTATTCATAATCAACGTTTTTGGGTTTAGATCGCGTTATTTCTAAATGTGTCGTAACCCTCCACCACCCGACACGGCCAATCAGTAAAAAAGTGTCTCGTTGACAAAAGATAAATAGTTCACTGCTTTAGCCCACCGGTGTGTTGAAGCGTGAAACCACAACATTTATAAATAACGCGATCTAAACCCAAAAGCGTTGATTATGAATAATATTGGTCGCGAAAGCCTACGTGTTAAACGGAATTCAGATTTAGTTTGCCGCTGACGTTCGCAGCGTTCAGAGCGCAGTGTGTACAGTGTGTACACCACTGCAGTGTGTAAACCACTGCAGTGGTGTACACCACTGCAGTGGTGTACACACTGCAGTGTGTACACCACTGCAGTGTGTAAACCACTGCAGTGATTCCTTGCTCAAATGGGCATTGAGGAAGTGCTCATTTCCTCGTTAGAACCCTGAGCCAGTGGTGGGAATTCCTCATTACCATGGCAGGTATGAGTCTATTGAAAAAATATCACCACTGTTGATTTCTCCAAAGCGGTACTAATTTTTTTTTCGATTTAAAGCTTTCGTGACTGCAGGGATTCATCTTCTTGGTTCTTTCGGTAAAGTCACGTAGAAGGGAAGTAATAAAATAATAAAAATAAAACATAATAAAACAATTCTCACGACGTTTCGGCCACAACGCAAGCAGCCGTCCTCAGGTGAAAACAGGTCCGTCGAGGCGACAGAGTCTGAATGTTCATTCAGACTCTGTCGCCTCGACGGACCTGTTTTCACCTGAGGTACTAATTTTATTGACCCTAGAGGGATGATTGGCTGAGTTAACCCCCAAACAGAGGAGTTGAACTCGCAACGGTCTGATTGCGAGCCGCTCGCTCTACCGCCGAGGCATCTGGCCAGAGTCCTAGTCGAGTTGTCGACGACCAGTGGAACGTTAACCAAGTCAAAGTCTGTGGACTTAACGTTGTGATTCTCTTGGACTAGTCGAGTAAAGCAAACGTTTAGCCTGCTCTTCGTCAATGTCATCAAAAATTTGGTTAGCAGATGAACACTGCCCGCACGACCAGAGGAGAAAGAGGACCGCAGCAGAACAATGGCAGGGCTGGGGGTGGGGGCGACCTTGGCACGGCGGGGGAGCATTTAAGGAATTGAGAAACGTTGCACCATTGTTGCCGGCGCCGCATTGCAAGTTCAGGTGTGCTAACCATGACACTGCGGAGCCAACGGCGTGAATGTGTTGAAGCGCAAAACGTCACTGATTGAGGGATGCAGACGCACCGAGCGTGCCGGCTCCGTGGGGGCCTCCCTCCGTGCGTGGAAGCCTGGGTAGCACCTGCTCGCTCACAAACAACAGCAGCAGCAGCAGCAGCAATCGCCAATCACCAATAAGTGGCAGTGATGTCGCCATGGTGTTCGTGGCAGGCTATGCACGAGCACGGTTGGCTACGTCCGATGCAAAAGAAGTTCATGAAAACATACATAGGTGCACGTTGAAGACACTTGAAGTGACAAAGGCTTGCTTTCAAGATACATGCTGTGTTTAATCTGCCCAAAGCTCTACTCGTTATTATCCCCCCCTTATTCATCCAAACAGACGTTGCTTTGTAATACGGTGGCTGGGCATCCGGGTTACATGACCCAGCCAATGCATAGTTTCCTGCCAAGAAGATCACTGATGGAATAAAGTCCATATATGTTTGGAGGACCTGTGAACTCCACACACTGTTCAATTTAGTTCCATCCGAAATGGATCACATGCAAACCAGAACAAATATGTCAGGCTTTGTCTGTTAATTCCTGTAAAAGGGTATACATTTTTTGGATATAAAGAGGGCATTATGGTGGCCAAGAAGACCCAGAGCTTAATGTGGATCAAGTGTTTGGAGCTTCCAGAAAGTGTTATTTATGCAACCGATGAGAAGATAATACCGCTCGCTGAATCAGTGAGACCTCCACCTCCAGACTGGAGCTGGTCATGAGCTTATTGGACACGTATAGGAACTCCTCCACCCTCTCTACAACCACCCCATTACTGAGGAAGGGTAGGAGTGTTTGATGAGATAAAGCACCCAGGCAAGTGTTTTGTTCTGATGGAACACCTCCATCAGCCACAGTTTCTGGACTGGATACCCAACAATGCCTTAGCAGTTCCATAACCAACACTCGTGAACCTCAAGCATTACTCCTCAGCATCAGCAGAGGGGAAAGATGCCAATTTCCACATAAAAATGCTGATCAAATTCTCACGTGCAACTTTCAACAGCAGGCTGAGACAAGGCTACTGTGGGTTTGAATGGGGTCTGAGGTGGATACTCAGTCCCACAATGATGAACAGAAGGCACATGTTACAGATGATAGGCAAATAGTCAGTGGACAGATCATCTCACGGACACACACACTCCCACATGTACACTTAAGTGGACACTGTTGTCATGCATCGATACGCGCAGACATCACCCCCCCTTGTACGAACGAACACGACACACGTACGGCACCTCATGGTAGAGCTGCGGAGGGGAGGTGATGAGCGTTGGGCAGAAGGAGGTGACGCCCTGAGTCAGCAGCTTCTGAGCAACCAGAGATAGCCCTTCCTGCAGCCCTGATCCACCAGACGAAAAGTCCACTCCGTAGCCCCCTGCAGACACAAAAACAAGATCCCCCATTTTTCGATTTAAAGCTTTCGTGACTGCAGGGATTCATCTTCTTGGTTCTTTCGGTAAAGTCACGTGACTTTACCGAAAGAACCAAGAAGAAGATCCCCCATGTAGCCTAAACACACCGATGGGTAATGTACTGTTAGTGAGTACCTGATAAGGACAACATTTACCAGTTCAATAAAGCATATGCACAGGCACAGACATATGCTCACAACACACAGCAGCGCATAAGCTTCAGATGCTTATACGTTATTGAAAAACCATACCGACCTCTGTTAAAATACACGAACCGCAAAATTAATGAAACGAGCACTTAATTGTAACCGAGAGAGCTGTGAGCATATTACCATTGAGTTGAACATCGATGAAGCCAGGAGCGAGGATGAGACCGTGGCAGTCCACCCTGCGGTCAGCGTGCACCTTCTCATCGAAAAAAAGTTTTTCAGGATCAAGGATCCGTCCCGATCGCACCCACAGATCGTCTCTGCCCGGCAGAGGAGGAAAGGGACAGGAAATGTAAGTGGCTCGTCCCAACATGCATTGGGATAATGAGACGTTAACACAGTGGCTCTCAATCTATTTGGTACAGCAGTCCCCTCAATCAAGACCACTGGTTCCCATGCCCCCTCTTACCCCAGCCACACTCATGGCGCAACCATCATAGGTTAAAAACCTAAGAATGGTGACAGCTTCTGCATACAGGACTACAAGTTTTAGAATGTCACTCTGATAAATTCCATACGCAGCTCAATCTTGATTGAGTGTAAGATGTGGTGTAGTGACGTAGCATTAGCCTACAGGCACATATTTAAACCCTTTATTAGTAAGTTCCCCTGCACGGTATCCATTCCAAAGCCTGCACCTCCCTCGAAAGGATTTGGAGAACACGCCCCATGGGTTGAGGAACGCTACCTCAAGGGAAGACGCAAACAAAAAATAACTGCTCTTGCAGCTAAGCGTACGGGCTGTGTAGGTACGCACACATTTTCCCAAAGGCAGCCTTTACCTTATCAGCTTGTGGTCTTTGAGAAGCAGGCAGTTGATAAATTGCGTGATTGGCGCATCTCTCACAGCCTGGTGAGAAGGCATGGCCATGCGACACTTCGCCCTGTGCAAAGCAAGAGACACGTGGCGTACTTTCAGGCAGTTTATGCAGTCTGTATTTATAACTGGAAACATCTGAAAGAAAACTTTTCACATTTTCGCATTTTTGGGCCCCAAAAATGTATGACCTACAGGTTGATTGTTTCACTCATAGGGGTAGGGTCAGTTTTTTTAAGTATCCTGCAATACACTTGAGCAGATTGTATTCCCATAATCAGTGAACCAAGTTTCTACACTATGGGAACCTCATTTGCCAGTAAAAATATGATAATTGTTTTTTTACCCTTCTATCTGGCAACAAAACTGACACCTTTTTATTATGATTGCAGGTATTGCGGTCTATGCAAACATGACTCCTTGTAAAAAGGTGTCAGTTTTGTTGCCAGATAGAAGGGTAAAAAACAATTATCAGTGAACCAAGTTATTCGCTGCCAGTGCAGGGTGACATTAAAGCTAAAGAGTGGTTGCCACTAAAAAAATAAGTTTGTGCTTGTTGAGCTTATTCAACGAATCATCATCGAATATGGTCAATCCACTGATGAATGAAGGCCTCCATAAACCGCTCCCATCTCTCAAATCACGATCCTGGCTTTGTTACTAATCCACCTTCTACCTACAAACCGAGCGGATTGGAAGAACATGTTCATTAAACCACATTATTTTTTTCTTATTTTGCGACGGTAAAAACAAAACTCCTGTTAAATCAAGAAACGTGTTCACCCTTTATCCGTTACTTACAACTTTGATTGTGCTGTTTGTTGCTGGCCGTTTGACGTTCTGGGCATGTTCAGAAATCCAAACCTGTCAACCCCTTATCAGTGCCCTACCTTACTACAGACCAATTCAGACGTAATTGGTCACCCCGTGTCCTTATAAATCTCAACGTTCATCTTACAAAGTCCCATCACAAGGGAGAAACACAAACACATAGACAAACATGTTTTTGCTTGCGCCGTATTGAAACGGCTGTACGCAGTATGGACCTGAAAACTCAATTTCCCTGTTACAAGAATACGGGGTTAAACCGTATGCGTTGACACGGTGTGGAAAATTGTGTGTTTTTACACGCTTTTATTTTACTCACTCTGTCTGTTGTTGTCGTTGTTATATCCTCAAATCTTGTAACTCAATTTTAACCCACTTCCCAATGTGGTATCGACTGCAAACTTGGTATACTTATGATGCCAATACTATATTCTATCCTAAAAAAACATATATTTTAAAACATTATTTTTTATATGTTATGTTTCGGCTTGGGTCTAATTCTAGATCCACCTGAAGACGGAAGCTTGTGTTGCCTCCGAAACGTCGTGATTTTTATAAAAAAATGTTTTTACCTACGTGACTTTACCGAAAAAACCTAAGAATATTTGGGTCTAATTGTCCACGCTAAACTGACGTTGGCTGTAAATCACCACGGGTCCCTTACGTTATGGCAAGCTTCGGGGCCACTTCCTGGAGTCCTTCCATTATTAGCATAGTACATTTCATTAAAGCGTGTTTAAAAAAAACGTTTTTGTTTAGTATTACTTATTTCAAAGTACTCCTCCTCTACAGGTTGCATCCATACGCTCAGCACCATCTTGCTGCACGTGCTGTTGTTGTTCGTACCACGCGCGTCACACACACACTCGGTCACGTGACTCCGTGCGGCGCGTGACTGCCACGTGACCGCCACGTGACCAAGCGCGCCTGGGGTTGGGGGCTTCCTCCTCGTCACGGCTCGCTTTGTGAAGTGGAACAAACAAATAAACAACAACAACAACAACAAACATTCAGCCCGAGCTTGTCCCGGGGCTGAACTCCGGAACAGGAGTTTGAGCATCAATGCATCGACGCTCACTCACGCGAGTAGGAAATCACGTTGACTCGTCGTGTCCTATGGTTAAGTTCGCCCCCGTCATAGGAATGTGGAATTTCCACCACTGGCTCTTCAGGGCTGGCAACAGGAGTTTGAGTATCAATGCATCAACGCTCACTCACGCGAGTAGGAATCTATGGTTAAGTTCGCCCCCGTCATAGGAATGTGGAATTTCCACCACTGGCTCTTCAGGGCTGGCAACAGGAGTTTGAGTATCAATGCATCAACGCTCACTCACGCGAGTAGGAAATCATGTGGACTCGTGTCTTATACGCATGTCATCTACATTACACGCGCACATCAATCAACACGGGACACAACAATCACAAACATTACCAGGGCAATTGAGGGTGTCAAGTACAACAACAACAACCACCATTCGCCACTAAGTGGCGGTGACGTCACCACGACGCTTGTGCCAGGCCATGTGCACCTTGAGGCTGCCACGTGAAGTGTGGAACGCCCGCTGGCAGGAGGTCACGGGGCAGACCCAGCAGGTGCCACGGGTCGCCTGACTGAGACGACCGAGACGACTGGCTGATGCACCACCTGTGCCTCCCCTACTGTACCAACTTGCTGTGCTTTATCCACCCAGCTCTCCGCTCGTTGTTGTGAGCAGCGTCGCTCCTCCGCCCCCCGTTGTTGCACGCACACACACACACGTACACACGCCTTACCCTAGGAGGGTCAGCTGATAACGCCGCTGTCAGGAGGGGGTCTCTGCCCTAGGTTCAGAGACGTTTCCTTACGGAGCCGAGTTGCTGCTGCTGCTGCTACCGATGCCCTGCTCTGCTCTGGACCCCCACACAGAAGCCTAAGAACCTCGCCGGGTGGGGGGGGGTAGAAGGGGAGGCACGTGACGCCCGACGTGACGTCATTCGTCAACTCACGGCCTGTGACGTCACGACGGCGTTCTTCCGGTGGATTCCCGGAAGCTCTCGGCATGACGATTGCGGCTCGGCGTGTTGCGTCACCACACGCGTGACGTCACTCGTCAACTCACGGCGTATGACGTCACGACGGCGTTCTTCCGGTGGTTCCCCCGGACGCTCTCGGCATGACGATTGCGGCTCGGCATATTGCGTCACCACAAACGTCAACTCCGGCGTGTGACGTCACAGCAGGCGTTACGTCATCGGACGTCCGATGTTTTGGTTGTCTGTGGGCAAGCTTTGGGTGACGTCATCGAATGTTACATCATTGAGGTGACATGACGTCACTTGGCAATAGAACGTCATCCGACAACAGCAGCCGCCATTCGCGAACTAAGTTGCGGGGACGTCACCGCGGCGCTTGTGCCAGCCTAGGTGCACGTTAAGTGCCACGCGAAGTGCCGAACGCCCGCCGCTGACAAGGAGGCCACGGGGCAGACCCAGCAGGTGCCATGGGGTCGACGGCTGGCTCGAGATGAGTGGCCGATGCACCACCAGTGCCCCCTACTGTGCCAACTTGCTGTGCTTTAGACACCCGGGGCGCTCCGCTCGTTGTTGTGAGCAGCGTCGCTCCTCCGCCCGGTGTTGTTGTTGTTGTGTGCCCACACCGATATCTCCCATCGGATTATTATTATTCGAATCGGCCTCTTATCTACGAACGACTTCACTGCTGGGCGCGCGGGACGCCGCGCGGGACGAGTTGAACAATCATCGGGCGCGTGCGGCGTGGAACGCTGAGGAAGTAAGGAGATTGAACGCGGCAAGACGCGGTGGTGGTGCGGTGGTGGTGGTGGTGTGGTGGTGCGGTGGTGGTGGTGGTGCGGTGGTGGTGGTGCGGTGGTGGTGGTGGTGGTGCGGTGGTGGTGGTGGTGGTGCGGTGGTGGTGGTGGTGGTGCGGTGGTGGTGGTGGCGGCGGTGGTGGTGGTGGTGGTGGCGGCGGTGGTGGTGGTGGTGGCGGCGGTGGTGGTGGTGTGGTGGTGCGGTGGTGGTGGTGGTGCGGTGGTGGTGGTGGTGGTGTGGTGGTGCGGTGGTGGTGGTGGTGCGGTGGTGGTGGTGGTGGTGCGGTGGTGGTGCGGTGGTGGTGGTGGTTGTGGTGACGGTGGTGGTGGTTGTGGTGACGGTGGTGGTGGTAGTGGTGGTGGTAGTGGCGGCGGTGGTGGTGTGGTGGTGGTGCGGTGGTGGTGCGGTGGTGGTGGTGGTGGTTGTGGTGACGGTGGTGGTGGTTGTGGTGACGGTGGTGGTGGTTGTGGTGGTGGTAGTGGCGGCGGTGGTGGTGTGGTGGTGCGGTGGTGGTGGTGGTGCGGTGGTGGTGCGGTGGTGGTGGTGGTGGTGCGGTGGTGGTCGTGGTGGGGCGGTGGTGGTGGTGGTGGTGCGGTGGTGGTGGTGGCGGCGGTGGTGGTGGTGGTGGTGGCGGCGGTGGTGGTGGTGGTGGCGGCGGTGGTGGTGGTGTGGTGGTGCGGTGGTGGTGGTGGTGCGGTGGTGGTGGTGGTGGTGTGGTGGTGCGGTGGTGGTGGTGGTGCGGTGGTGGTGGTGGTGGTGCGGTGGTGGTGCGGTGGTGGTGGTGGTTGTGGTGACGGTGGTGGTGGTTGTGGTGACGGTGGTGGTGGTAGTGGTGGTGGTAGTGGCGGCGGTGGTGGTGTGGTGGTGGTGCGGTGGTGGTGCGGTGGTGGTGGTGGTGGTTGTGGTGACGGTGGTGGTGGTTGTGGTGACGGTGGTGGTGGTTGTGGTGGTGGTAGTGGCGGCGGTGGTGGTGTGGTGGTGCGGTGGTGGTGGTGGTGCGGTGGTGGTGGTGTGGTGGTGCGGTGGTGGTGGCGGCGGTGGTGGTGGTGGTGCGGTGGTGGTGGTGCGGTGGTGGTGGTGGTGGTGGTGCGGTGGTGGTGGTGTGGTGGTCCGGTGGTGGTGGTGGTGCGGTGGTGGTGGTGCGGTGGTGGTGGTGCGGTGGTGGTTGTGGTGGTGCGGTGGTGGTGGTGGTGGCGGCGGTGGTGGTGTGGTGGTGCGGTGGTGGTGGTGGTGGTGGTGCGGTGGTGGTGCGGTGGTGGTGGTGGTTGTGGTGGCGGTGGTGGTTGTGGTGACGGTGGTGGTGGTGGTTGTGGTGGTGGTAGTGGCGGCGGTGGTGGTGCGGTGGTGGTGGTGGTGTGGTGGTGCGGTGGTGGTGGTGGTGGCGGCGATGGTGGTGCGGTGGTGGTGGTGGTGCGGTGGTTGTGGTGACGGTGGTGGTGGTGGTGCGGTGGTGGTGGCGGCGGTGGTGGTGCGGTGGTGCGGTGGTGGTGGTGGTGCGGTGGTGGTGGTGCGGTGGTGGTGGTGCGGTGGTGGTGGTGCGGTGGTGGTGGTGCGGTGGTGGTGGTGGTGTGGTGGTGCGGTGGTGGTGGTGGTGGCGGCGATGGTGGTGCGGTGGTGGTGCGGTGGTTGTGGTGACGGTGGTGGTGGTGGTGCGGTGGTGGTGGCGGCGGTGGTGGTGCGGTGGTGGTGGTGCGGTGGTGGTGGTGGTGCGGTGGTGGTGCGGTGGTGGTGGTGGTGCGGTGGGGGTGGTGGTGGTGCGGTAGTGGTGGTGGTGGTGCGGTAGTGGTGGTGGTGATGGTGGTGGTGCGGTGGTGGTGGTGGTGCGGTGGTGGTGGCGATCTTTACGCACCGCGCGCCAGGTATTTATTTTAGGCTGAGTCGACCTAGGGGAGGAGGCCCCAGTTCAGATAATCGCCGCTGGTGGTGCTGGTGGTTGTTGGTGGTGGCGGCCGTGACCGGCAATATAACCCCTTGTGTTCCACTGTCGTGCCAAAAGAAACTCGGTATTTCTGCGCGTGTAATAACCGTACATACATGCTGCTTCACACTGACACGTTAAATAAGAACCCGTGACCTCGTTTGCAAGAGTAGGCCGTTGTGGGCCGGCACCGCAGTCCAATTTTGAAAGATTTACCTGCATATCGCTGACTTGGAATGTTCATAGCAAGCATTGCCTCCGACTGCAAAAACTTGACAGGACCCTTCGGCCTTGAGACTCCGTGAGTGAGGCTATCCAGAGTAAACAAGTGTAAATACAAACTCCGTGTTAGTCCACATGCCAGGACTAGATATTTCACTTGTTGATTCCAATTTTAAATGAGGTCAACAATAGTGTGTTATGTCATACACATTTTAAATGAGTGGATTGTCAAATAATTAACTTTTATGACCAATATACATATTTTTGTAGTACCAAACTATGCTCTGACCCAGTGTTCTTCACTAATTTTCAGAGAGGGGGGGGCACTTTCGCCGATTAGACATGAATTTGAGGACCACCACACATATGAAACCATTAGGGGTTTGACCGCATGATGATGGAGTGTTTTCACATTTGTGTAAGGTCGGGGGCCGCACTAAAGGCCACCCAGAGCCTGCCAGTGGCCCATGGACCTTGCAACGAAGAACACCGATTTGAGCCGTGGCCTCTGCGTTTCAGTGTCAATTGTGTCTCAAGGGCCTTTCGTTCATGGTGGCTCAGACCCGTGAGGTTGCTCGTTGAGATTTGACCCCCCCAACCCCCCCTGCTGATCCTAGGCTGCTGCGAAGATCTCGTCATGAGCGGAGGTCTGGCTCCCAGCCGGAGCACGGTCTACGTGTCCAACCTGCCCTTCTCCCTCACCAACAGCGACCTGCACAAGGTGCATGGCACCCTGTCACGCACTCTCGGCACCTGCACGTGACGGGTGAACACGAAGTGAACAGGGAGCCAGGGAACACTAAAGCTAGAGTTCGAGGTAGGTAGGGATATTGTCCGATTGGCTAGTCTGGTTATAATCGAGGATGGGGATCGTGCAAGGGGCTGCTTTCCTTGGTTTAGCTCAAGGTGAGGCTACCGTTTGGTGTGCCAGTGTGGTTAGAAGTAGGGCTTTTGTCCGATTGGCTAGTCTGGTAATAATTAAGGATAGGGATATTACTCCAGGCTGGTTGTCTTGGAATAGGAGTAGAGCTGGTGTTTCGTTGGCTAGTGTGCCATGTACCATTCCACTTTAAACCGACCTCACTCTACATTCGTTTTATACTTATGTTTTTACAGCGCCTCACTCCATCCATGTAGTGAAAAAGCGGAACCTCGGTCTATTTTCCTCGTCACTTTTGTCTCACTTTTTTTCCCGTGGGTTCAGCAGATATTTCGTTTGCCAGAAATTGGCACCGCCTGCCTGTGGCGAAAATGTGGATTTTTTTGTTGTAAAGGTCATAACAGTGGAGGTGACAATCCTTGGAACTCCAGGCCATTTTGTTTATTATCCGTATAAATAAAGTTATCTGTGATGTGTTTTTGGTTTCTTCTGAGAGCGAAACAGCACGGCCGCGAAAACCTATAAATGAATTGGTACCATAATGGTGTTGCTCCTCGGGTTGTACCAATTTATGTACTGCTGCTTGTACGATGTGTCTTTCTTCCTTCCTATGTGCACTTTTGCTTTGTCAAACAGTGGGGAAGTTTTTGTGGCAGGAGAGCGGGCGACTGTGGTTGGAGACGTTATGATTGAGAAAGTCACATTATAACATATTATTGGTTTTCTTGGTTCTTTCGGTAAAGTCACGTAGAAGGGAAATAATAAAATAATAAAAGTAAAACATAATAAAATACAATTGTCACGACGTTTTGGCCACAACGCAAGCAGCCGTCCTCAGGTGAAGAACAGGTCTGTCGGAAAGACAGCGTCTGAAATGACGCTGTCTTTCCGACAGACGTCGTGAGAATTGTATTTTATGATGTTTTCTTTTTATTATTTTATTATTTTTCTTCTATGTGACTTTACCGAAAGAACCAAGAAGTTGAATCCCTGCAGTCACGAAAGCTTTCAATCGAAATATTATTGGTTATTTCGGTAAAGTCACGTAGATAGAAAATCAAATCAAAATAACTGATCAAATAAAAGAAAAAGAAAAAATGTAAATGCAAATAATAAATTGAAAAATAATAAAAGCAAAAAACCCACGACGTTTCGATCGCAACACAAGCGGCCTTCATCAATATGAATTCCTGCAGTCACGAAAGTTTTCGGTCAAAATCATATAACATTTTCAGTTAAACGTTTCAGCAACGCTATTTATTGAAGCTGATCTGTAAATTACATACATGTCGGTTGACATTGAGATGAAACTGAGGTATATTTTCATCATAATCGACCAAGTGTTCTAAAGAGTTGTGTTTTATCTTGTGTTTCAGATCATGGAAAAGCATGGTAAGGTTGTTAGGTAAGCAAAAAATGCATTCATGAATCTGGCAGACGTAACGTAGTGACTGGGTGGCACAGTGATCAGCACACATACTTATTGTATATATTTTAATCCAACCCGAGCAAATAATAGTTTACTTCTATTGTATTTACATGTTCTTGGTTCTTTCGGTAAAGTCACGTAGAAGGGAAGTAATAAAATAATAAAAATAAAACATAATGAAACAATTCTCACGACGTTTCGGCCACAACGCAAGCAGCCGTCCTCAGGTGAAAACCAGGTCCGTCGAGGCGACAGAGTCTGAATGAAACAGCACACGAGCTTGGAGCATATATATAAGCTGGGCGCATTGACAAAGGAATTTGCATATCAAAAGGACTTTAGCATATTTATGGGAAATGCAGGAATGTGATTAGTACTGCATATGCATGTGCATTATGCAGGATTAACAGCATCAAAGGAGCTGCAGTTACTGCTGCTGCAGCAGTTGCTGCTGCTGCTGCAGTTTCTGCTGCTGCTGCAGTTGCTGCTGCTGCTGCAGTTGCTGCTGCTGCTGCACTTGCTGCTGCTGCTGCACTTGCTGCTGCTGCTGCTGCTGCAGTTGCTGCCTTATCCATTTTAAAATGGATAAGGCAGCAAGTGCAGCAGCAGCAGCAAGTGCAGCAGCAGCAGCAAGTGCAGCAGCAGCAGCAAGTGCAGCAGCAGCAGCAACTGCAGCAGCAGCAGCAACTGCAGCAGCAGAAACTGCAGCAGCAGCAACTGCTGCAGCAGCAGTAACTGCAGCTCCCTTTGATGCTGTTAATCCTGCATAATGCACATGCATATGCAGTACTAATCACATTCCTGCATTTCCCATAAATATGCTAAATTCCTTTTGATATGCAAATTCCTTTGTCAATGCGCCCAGCTTATATATATGCTCCAAGCTTGTGTGCTGTTTCATTCAGACTCTGTCGCCTCGACGGACCTGGTTTTCACCTGAGGACGGCTGCTTGCGTTGTGGCCGAAACGTCGTGAGAATTGTTTAATTATGTTTTATTTTTATTATTTTATTACTTCCCTTCTACGTGACTTTACCGAAAGAACCAAGAAGATGAATCCCTGCAGTCACGAAAGCTTTAAATCGAAATGTATTTACATGGTTTCCCCAAATGCTGTATGGGCTTAAACATCTGTTATCATTGTGTAATGCACAAGTTGTCAATGCCATCTATCATTCGCTTAAATTTGTTTGATCAAAATGCACACTGACCCTTCCCATTGCGTGCTCACGCCACTGCTGCTGGAAGGGACTACACTCGAGGGAGCTCTAGAGAGACTGGCTGACTATGTTCAACACGAGCCCGACGTCTTGGAAGAAGCCGGAGTGGCCAGACTTTGCCCCACGAAACACGACCTGCCAATCGAATAACTGTTTCAGTTTTTTTATATTCTTAGGTTTTTTCGGTAAAGTCACGTATGTAAAACATCAAAATTAATGAAAATAAAACAAAAATCACGACGTTTCGGAGGCAACACAAGTCTCCGTCATCAGGTGGGACCGTCATAGCCGAATTAGCTGCATCAATCAAGTGAGGCAATGATTCAAGATGTAATCCCTTATAAGCAAGTTGAAGGGGGGAGGAGAGGGGGGGGGCTCATCAGAATGTGGTAGCCAATGAATGGAAACGTATCGGGAGGGAGGGGGGCGGGGCTCAAAGACAGCACGGAGTGCTCAACACATTGTTTCAGTTTGAATTATTAGGATTTATCCTGTGAGCCATTCGGCTCTTGATTTGGGTTCAACCGCAACAAACAATAAAATAACAAGATACACCTAAAATTCATTGTACACGAATCTAAACATCACAAACGTAAACAATAAAATCCTACAGAAAAAGCACAACCCGTCCATGCTGCGTACAGAAAGTGCAAAAAATTCCATTTCGATGTTTCATCGCAATAACAATAATAATGCAATACAGATAAAAACTTTTAAGTATAAATCTATACCAAATAAAAAAAATCGGGCCAAACCAAGACCCTATACAAACTTACTAAAACAATGCTATATAAACAATGTAACAGTTTTCCCAACAAATGTGATTAAAAGTTTACAATAGCGACACACACAACACACATCACTAAACCTCGCATCCTTCGCTAGCTGCATAAGTCAATCCGGTGTGCCCTTTTAGACTGCTGGGTGGACAGAGGCACGGGGGAAATTAGGAAACCGGTATAATGAGTGTTTTTTGTGCTTTATGTGATTCGTGCATTATACGGGCGTCGTTTGTACGTGTAGAACTTCTTTTTCACCGTACGTAGCCGACCGTGCTCATCGGAGGTGCGGAGGAAGGACAAGAAACGATACAAAAAAAGTAGTTCTAAAGAAATTAGTTTTCAATCTAGATGATGTAAATGTGCACAGCTTCAGTGGCTTCCTAATATCGGAAGGAAAAGCGTTCCAGACGGCCGCAGCAGCAGCGCATCCGAACGCGCACGATGCAGGCACCTGTCTTTGTTCGATAGCCAGCCTAAATTCCCGTGCGCGTCTCCTGCAGGGTGACCGTCGTGCGTGACCGGGAGACGCGCCGCAGCAAGGGCGTGGCCTTCGTGCTCTTCCTGGACCGCGAGTCGGCGCAAAACTGCAGTGCGCAAAGTCAACAACAAGGAGGCAAGCGCCACGTTCGCACGTCCACGATACTTGCAAGAGTTTCCCCTGTGTTTGGATTTCCTTGCTCTGAGCCCGAGAATTTGAGATAACGTGTCGATTTCGATTTAAAGCTTTCGTGACTGCAGGGATTCATCATCTTGGTTCTTCCGGTAAAGTCACGTAGAAGGGAAATAATAAAATGATAAAAATAAAACATAATAAAATACAATTCTCACGACGTTTCGGCCACAACGCAAGCAGCCGTCCTCAGGTGAAGAACAGGTCTGTCGGAAAGACAGCGTCTGAAGGTCTGTCAGAAAGACAGCGTCATTCAGACGTGTCGATGTCGTGCTCGTCATATCACGTCTCGCCAGGCAAAGATGTTTAAAATGATAAACCGCTTCCAAAATACGAGTGTTTAATGAATGCGCGCCCAACCTCGCCTAGATTCTTCCCCCGTCTCACTGTGGACGTCTCTCTCGGTGTGTGCAGCTGTTCGGTCGGACGCTGAAGGCAAGCATCGCCGTGGACAACGGCCGCGCCTCGGAGTTCATTCGCCGCCGCACGTACACGGACAAGTCTCGCTGCTACGAGTGCGGGGCAAGTACTCCTATCCCACGCGCGCGCAAAAGGGGCAAACGTGTCTTGCGTTTGTTGATGTGTGATGACACTATACGAGTATATGTGTACATCCTTGGAATGATCTGTCTACTGACATTTGGCCTTTCAGCTGTATGATGCACCTTCCGTTCTTTCACTGTGAGAGAGGGCATCCACCTTCGACAACATTCAAACCAACAATAGCGTAGTCTCTGCTCCTCTGTTGAATGTTGCACACGGACACACGGACAAGTCTCGCTGCTACGAGTGCGGGGCAAGTACTCCTATCCCACGCGCGCGTAAAAGGGGCAAACGTGTCTTGCGTTTGTTGATGTGTGATGACACTACACGAGTATATGTGTACATCCTTGGAATGATCTGTCTACTGACATTTGGCCTTTCAGCTGTATGATGTACCTTCCGTTCTTTCACTGTGAGAGAGGGCATCCACCTTAGACACCATTCAAACCAACAATAGTGTTGTCTCTGCTCCTCTGTTGAATGTTGCAAGAGTGACATTTTATCAACACTTGGAGATGAGATTGGCATCGTTCCCTTCTCCTGCTGATGGTTTCATGTTGGATTCTGTGTGTGTGCACGTGTGCTCCTTGACTCTTAGGAGGATGGCCACCTCAGCTACATTTGCCCCAAGAATGTTCTTGGGGAGAGGGATCCACCAAAAAAGAAAGAAAAGAAGAAGAAAAAGAAGCTAGATGCTACACAAGAACAGGAGACGTAATGACCTCTTGCTTTTGCTACGGTTTTGGCAAAGGGGTCAAGATGGTCAGGGAATTTTAATGAAGTCTGCGAGCTTTTGGAAATGTCTTTACAAATGAATTAGATTAACACAGGGCTGGTACCTCGTTGAAGTATTTTTAGTTTGTCTTTGAAATTGTTACTTTAACAGTTTTTAACAAAAATGTTTTTTTGTAATAACAAAAAACTACAGCTCATGAATTATATACTATTTTTTTCCCCACATCTCAGCCGCGAATTTCATTAAAATTGACTGTGCCAAAATAATAGCCTTCACCCATCACCGCTAATGCTTGTCTGTGTCTTGCATCGGCGTTCACAAACTGCGCGCTACACTCCCGCACCATCGCCGAGCAGGAATTGTTGATTGATGGCTGCTGTTTGGTGCACGCGTGTTGCCCAGGAACGTGTCTGGGAGTGAAGAAGAAGGGGAGGACCCGGCCCTGGACAGCTTGAGCCAAGCCATCGCTTTCCAGGTGCCTTGAAGCAGCCGAGTCTCGGACTGGTCGACAGTACACCACTAAACGTGTCTGCATATCAATTTAGCTTCGGTTTACACATTCCCCGCCCCACGGTAATTTGTGATGGATATTGTAAAATTACATTTTGAGCATCAGAGGGTAGTGCAGATGCTCACACACACACGGACCAGCAGGGGTGAGGTATGCATTCAGAGTATTTGGCTGCTATACATTTCCACGTGATTGCACTTAATTGGGGTATCATTTGTGGCCAGGTCGCTTCTGAAAACCGGCCATAGAGCTCAGCGGGCCTTGCCTAGTAAAATAAAAAATAGTTTAAATAATTTAGTTTTAAACAACCCCCACGACCTGCACGGCATGGGGGGAGGCCTTCAGTAGTGGACTAATCAAGGGCCGTGCATGTACATCACTGTGGAGGTAAAACACCCTTTTGGTATAAACATATTCAAGAGTCGGCTAATGAGCCTTAACAGCAAAAACACCAACCATGCATATTAAACCTGCGCAGTGCATGTATAGCAATGTGTGCGTGTCTTGCCCCTGTTTGTGCTGTATTGCTGTCCGATGGGTTTTCGAGTTGTACCGCGTGTTGGTTGGCGTGTTGTCCGACACGATCTGGGACTTCACACCGAACAAGGTGCGGTAGAAAACCGTGTCTATTAATGTATAATGGATGTATTCATCTTCTTGGTTCTTTCGGTAAAGTCACGTAGAAGGGAAGTAATAAAATAATAAAAATAAAACATAATAAAATTATTCTCACGACGTTTCGGGCACAACGCAAGCAGCTGTCCTCAGGTGAAGAACAGGTCTGTCAGAAAGACAGCATCTGAATGAGACGCCGTCCTCAGGTGAAGAACAGGTCTGTCAGAAAGACAGCGTCTCATTCAGACGCTGTCTCATTCAGACGCTGTCTTTCTGACAGACCTGTTCTTCACCTGAGCACGGCTGCTTGCGTTGTGGCCGAAACGTCGTGAGAATTATTTTATGTTAAATTTGTATTATTTTATTACTTCCCTTCTACGTGACTTTACCGAAAGAACCAAGACGATGAATCCCTGCAGTCACGAAAGCTTTAAATCGAAATGGATGTATTGTTTGCTTTGCTCGTTGCGCTTTGTGCTGGGCGACGCGTTGTGTTCCGCAGCACGCGCGTGTGGAGGAGGAGCGGCGCCATTTCGGTGGCGGTGGTAACGGCGGGGATGGCCAGCCCGGGACCTCGGACGCCGACGGCACGCGGCACCGCATCAAGCAGAGCCACTACTTCAGCGACGAGGAGGAGCTCAGCGATTGACGCCCGCTGACCTCTCTCACTGGCAGACGACGGGGCCCAGCGTCCCTTGTGCGTCGTTCACCAAGACGGGGCGGTAGTGTAGCCTGGACTGCCGCTGATCTGCAGCGTAGTGCTGGAAGCAATTGAATAGCCCTATCGTTAACCCCATTCATCTCGCTTCTCCCATACATAGTTGTGGTGCACCCATAATAAATACACCCATTACTCTTCCCCTTGAGCCCAAAAACATTTTTTCTTGGAGGTAGCAGTGTTTTGCAGAGCAGCGGTATTTTGAATCACGCCAGAAGTTCCCATATGAACGCTGGGTTTCGTATGCAAGCGTTTGCTTTTTGCCACTCGCTGCAAGATTTCACATTTGTTTCAAGTTTATTTTGTTTAAGCAGGGTGAGAACTCGAAGAGACCAAGATAAAGTTTCATTTGCAAGTGACTTGGAACACCAATAGCAGTATCGGACCTCTAGTGGCGAGAGATACAGTAAAACCTTGGATTGCGAGTTACTTGGTCTGCGAGTGTTTTGCAAGACGAGCAATTTTTTTAAATAATTATTAATTTGATTAACGAGCGAGGTCTTGCAATACGAGTAGTACGTGTGTACGCTTTGTCTGCCGAGCGTCACGTGATCACAACTGATGTACGAGTGCTTTGGATTACTAACACGTTTCCGGAACGACTTATGCTCGCAATCCAAGGTTTTACTGTATTGGACTCTTCTCTGCATGCTTGTGGGTATGAGCATCCAAATGCAACCTTGGTTGTTGGCGAGTGGATTGCCTGAGCTGTGTGTGCAGCTCACCGGACGCTGTGCAACGCATGCCAGCCTCTTTTTTTTAAATCCTTTATATTAAGTTCGCTTGCTTGCTTGCTTAGGACCGTGCAAATTTTTCGGTCGTTTTTTAACCCACTTCCCGTGATCCAATCGAGCTGACATTTTGCACACAGACTCGTTGTGCGTGACAATGAATTTTCGTGAAAATTTTTTTCCAAAATTTTACACTTTTTAGGAAAAAATAAATTATATTTAATTACCAATTGCTTAATGGTGGCAGCCATTCATCTGACCCATAGGTGGCAGCCATATCAAGCCAGAGGACGAGAGGACTCTAGCCTCCACGCATATGAAGGATTTATAGTGAAAAACTTTGTTTTTACGGGTGAATTTTTTTTCCCTGTTCGTGGCACCGTGGCGTATCTCCATTTACGAGATAATTTAAACTTACTTTTTCAGGAACGCAACAATTGTAATAGAAGTTTTGTCATTCAAATGTAACAAAATATTTGGTGAAATTAGGTGAAGAGGCAAACATCTGTAAATAAATGTGTATATATTTTTTATGAATGTAAAAAGAATGTGGAACAAATATTAGACCGTGAATGTTTTTTATTCATCTTGCACTGTTTCTCGCAGTGGGCATATTGAATTACGGAGAGAGGAAGGCAAAGGAACAAAAGAAAGGTCTTGAATAGGCGTAGGGAGTCCACAGTACATATTGCTGGTGGCAAGGGAGTTCCAGACTATGGGGACATTCAAAGAAAACGAGCAACCTCCCACTGAGTGAACGTAGACCGGGAACTTCGACCGAATGCGTTGAGAGGAGTAGAGTGGGATGAGAAGGCAGAGGTAATTAGCTTAAAGTAAATTTTCTTTAACCAGGTGGGAGCTCAAGAGACAAGGATAGTCTTATTTGCAAGCATGACCTGCTTCACCAAAATTACTAATCGGTAACGGATGAATGCATGGGGGATCTTCAAGACTGCAATTCTGAACATTGTTCCAGGATTTGATGGAATGTGAACGGAGCATGAGAGATATGGTCTCGTTTATGGGTGGGGTTAAAAAGTCTTGCAGTGGCATTTTAGAGTTTGGAGAGGAGGGAATTTGAGAGTCTGTAGAGGAATTGCAATCATCGAAGTCGAGATGGGATTAGGGCATCGATGAGTGTCGGCACCAGCTGAGAAAATAGGCGAGGAAAATTGAAATTTTACGATAAAACATTTTGTAACTTATAATAAAAGTGACAAAACGAGCGGTAAAAAAAAGTTGGATTCATTGCTTAATTTCCATGACGGTATTTGCCTTCTGTTCTTCGTTAAGTAAAACATTTTTTTTGTTGTTTCTGTGGAAACATCAACAATGTTCAATAGGAGGCACTTCTATTGAGTAGGCAGGGACAGTGATCTCGCTAGGAACATTTTAATGATCAAAAATGATAAATCCACTGCCAAACAATGGTCTCATCACACCGTTGCCATCCGCGTAATTTTGCGATTCCACAAGCCATTTGGACATTTGAGCTGATTCCATCTCACGCGCCGAGCTGGAAGGGCAGACGGAACGAGCGGGAGGAGATGTCGGATGAGGGGCCGTCCATAAATGACGTCACGAATGTAAGGGGGGGGGGAGAAATGTGACGTCACATCAAAATGCGCAACTTTTAATAAATATATAATTGTGCAAACAACACTAGTTGTTATAACAACACTCCTACAACATCAGAGTGCAGCGCCACATTAAATACGCACTACAATGACAATAGTTTAAAGCGATTTGAAGCACGTGTTTTATTTTGAAAATGGAAATATGGTTTTGGGGGGAGGGGGGTGCAGAGCTTTGTGACGTCATATTTGAGGGGGGGGGGCTGACTTTTTGTGACGCTGTGTGACAAGGAGGGGGGGGTGTCAAAAATCGTACAAAATCGCGTGACGTCATTTATGAACAAGAAAACATCTTAAAGTGACTATGTGGAAACAGAAAATCCAAGAAAAGACAGCAAAACATTGCAGAAAAAACACCGTACACCAACGCTGTGTGCAAAAATCTCAGTGGGATGCAAGTCAAACAACAACAACCACAAGACAACTCAGATTAAGGCCATCAGTCTAACTCCGTACTACAACAAACAAACATGGCCAAACCAAAACACTTTTCGAAATCACCAAAATAAAGGCACAAATGGCTCTGTATTCGATTAAGATGTTGGTGTGTGGTGGTTGCTTTGAATGACCCTTCTTTTAACACGGTTGTTAAGCACGGACCCAAAACGTCAAACGACCAGCAACAAACAGCACCATCAAGTTTAGACGGAAAACTTTTCACGTGTTTTTATATTGAGCGAGGATAACACATTCCTGCGGAGGGAGCTGGTAGGAACGTTGGGTTGCTCGGTCAATGGCCAGGATCAATGGCGGCGTGGTGTATTCCGCAAATATGCCCGACTGTGAGGGAGGGCACAAGCCGGCGTGAGTAGGTTAAACGTTGAGTTTTATAAGGGCACCACGGGGTGACCAGCCCCTCCCCACACAGCCCCACCCCTCCCACCCCCCACCCAGCCCCACCCAGCCCCACCCCACCCTCCCCTCTCCACTCAGCCCCACCCTCCCCACCCAGCCCCTCCCCACCCTCCCCACCCAGCCCCTCCCCACCTTCCCCTCCCCACCCTCCCCTCTCCACTCAGCCCCACCCTCCCCTCTCCACTCAGCCCCACCCTCCCCTCTCCACTCAGCCCCACCCTCCCCACCCAGCCCCTCCCCACCCAGCCCCTCCCCACCTTCCCCACCCAGCCCCTCCCCACCCAGCCCCTCCCCACCCAGCCCCTCCCCACCTTCCCCACCCTCCCCTCTCCACTCAGCCCCACCCTCCCCACCCAGCCCCTCCCCACCCTCCCCACCCAGCCCCTCCCCACTTCACTCAGCCCTACCCTTCCCATTTTTGGATCCACGACGGACGGACGGACACAATAATCCCCTGTGGGCTGGTGTAACCAGGAGGTTCCTACCAGTATAATAGCTTAATACTATCTTAAGAGAGACTGCATCGGGTTTCTACTTAGTAGAATGTCGTTAAAATATTTTAAAGCAAGGGATAATTATATTTATATTTTTATGGGATTTAAAGTTTCTTAGATATAGTTGCAAAGGCAGAAAATAATAAAAATATTTAGGAGAATCGATTCCTAATAACTTCAGTCAATGAGAATCGATTCATAAACGATTCATGCATTAGTATCGATTCCAAAATCAGTGAAATAGTTAAAATCGCCGGAATGGAATCGCTGATGAGACGAATCATACCGATCATTGTCTATATTATAACCCACTTCGAATGCTGCAATCACGAATCGTTAAATAAACGCTCAAGAAATAACAACAATAGTCGTAAGTTGACACAAATAAAAATTACATTTATAAAAAATATTCATTTAAATTCAGCCAATGGCGACGCGGCTTCTACCGGCCGGGCTCGTATCGTCGCCGCTGATTGGTTGAGACATTCGCTTTGAACGCGAGTTCCGGCCGCCTTAATTAGCCGAGCTGCTGCTGCTTCTTCATCATCGATAATCATCAATAATCATTAATAATCATCGCCAGCCATGATCTATCTACCGCTACTGGATGAAGACCTCTCGTCTCTGCGGCGCAACGCACGCGGCTGACCTCCGTGTGATCGCACACACACAAAGGTCAAGGCGCAGGACCTGCAATTGCCTCCACTGCAGGAGGGTCACTTGGCCTACTCTTCCACGCCGGCCACACGTTTCTTTAAAGGAGGTAGGGTCAGCCACACCGTGACCCCCACACGCCCGCCTGGTTGTGTCCCATTGACGCTGCTGGGTTGGACACACAGAGGCGACGGGGAGATATTTTAACGAGTAATATTACAATACAAATTTATTAAAAACATGCTTTAATTAAATGTACCGTACTAGTAATGGATAAAACTCCACGACTCCAAGAAGTGGCCCGTAACGTAAGGGGGCCGTGGGCAATTACAGCCAACGTGAGTTGAGCGTGCACAATTGGAGCCAAGCCGAAACATAACATCTAAAAAAAGATGCTTAAAAATAAATATTTTGTATTTTTATGATAGAATATAGTATTGTCATCAGTATGACATAAGTATACCAAGTTTGCAGTCGATGCCACATTGGGAAGTGGGTTAAAATTGAGTTACAAGATTTGAGGATACAACAGACGGTTAAAAAAAGCGTGTAATAATAACAATAAAATAAAATATAGTAGTAGGTTTTTACCCTTTCAACTGGTACAAAACTGACACCTTTATACAAGGCATCATGTTTGCAATAACCACAACACAAGCAGTCAAAATGCAAACAAAAAGAAACAACTCTGATGATGATAATGATATGCACTGTCCTTGAAGTTGATTGGTCCACACCCGAGACAGCTTTTCTTAGAGCCTAGTCTCCACTGGTGTTGGACCAGATGACGCCAAAAGGCGTACAACTCAAAAACAGCGCACTATCAGAGTATTGAGAGCTCGGGGTAAGCATTTACACTATGAGACCTCCTTTACCAGTGGCAAAATATATTGATAGGTTTTTACCCTTTCAACTGGTACTGTGACCTGTGGATTGTGACCCGACGTCACAGTTTAAGCCTCTTTGCGGAGACTCCACTATTAACAATACTGGGTGTTGCATTTATATTTAATTTATATTTAAAGCTTTCGTCACTGCAGGGATTCATATTCTTGGTTCTTTCGGTAAAGTCACGTAGAAGGGAAATAATAAAATAATAAAAATATCAAACAACACAAGCAATCATCATCAGGTGTGAAAACCACAGCAAGAAAATTTGAAATGGCCATCACTTGGTAGTCGTGGGAATGTAATGATATTGCTGTACAGTCGATGTAAACACAGTGAACAGGGGAGATGTGTAATACAGTACATGCACAACTATGGAGGGATTAGCCAATAGGAGCAGCAGAGAAGAAGTTGCCACGTTTTTTCGTATTTCAAAATATCTGCCTGTTTTCGTTGTCATTCACCTGCTTCATAGATAAAACTAGTGAGTATACATTTTTATGTCAATTACATTTTGTGTGATGAATAATGATGTTGACCACAAATCCACCAGATGGGTGCATTTTAGATCCTGGTGGAATGGTGGCGCAGTGCTTAGCACACTGCACTACGAACCCGGAAACCTGAGTTAGATTCCTGACCACGGCTAACATCAGTGGTGAATATCTGAACCGTTCCCGGGCTACCCTTTAGTCAACCTGCATCTGTAGTGATGTGTAAACATTGGCGCTGGCCGGAGGAGGAGGGGGGGGGGTAAAAAGCGGCCTAGTGCGGTGCCAGCCACACCACCCTGCTCGTGCGCAATTCTGCCCCGAATCGATGGCTCGCCAACTGAACTTTCCCCAACAATTTGTACTCTTATACGGGTACATTTTCTTGCCTTTGTTCCAGCTCAGAGCAGGTGCCATGATGACAGATCCCATCACGTTCCCGAGCAGTGAGCCCGGCAGGATGGGACGGAGCAACGGAATGGCGCTCTCCGCGAGCAGCTCGTGCGGGTGGGACTCTGAAGACGACGACTTCGACTCGGCGAGCACGCGATGCGGTCCTCCTGCGCCCAAGTGCCTGGGGAAGGACCGCAAACTCTCCCGGCGCAACAACACGCGCGGCGCCGCATTAGCGGCGAGCCACGATTCTGCTGCTGCCGCTGCTTCCAAAACTCCAGCCGCCGGCGCGACAGCGTGGGAGGACGGCTCGTCTTCGAGGGGCGTCGAGGAGCTGCCCGGACCGGACATGGAGTGTGCGCGTGGTCGGAGAGCGGAGGAGTACCGGCAGAAGCCCGAAGACGCGTCGGTGAGCGCCGAGGCGAAGAAGAGGCGAGTGGCGCGAAACCCCGCCGAGGTGTCTGACCTGCCCGGCGGCTCGCCCGGCAACGTTGGTGCAGAGCACGTGGCAAGGGTCGCGACAGCTGCGGGTACATCTACAAACTCGCTCGTGTGTGCGCATGGTGCGAGCTGATTGAGCGAGCTCTGTGCTTATACTTCTTGTGTCCGCTCGCATTCACACATTTTTAAACTTGAACACAGCAGAAGTTGGATATAAGCACACCCCTTGAGAGCAAGACCAGGTGTGCTTCGATTCCAAAGTAGTGTGCTTGTATTAGAAGTTTCCTTCCGCCTTGCCCCTACTAGTGTAATGTTGCTTATATTACAACTGTGCTAATGTGTGCTTATAACCAGCTTCTATACATAATCTGTAATTGTGTGAGTGCTTTTCTCATTTCAGCAGATTAAACGCTGCCACCTTTGAAATGTAAGCACACAGGCAGTCACAATCTCAGTTCTAAAGCGAGATAAACGCCAGGTGGGGCCATGTGGCGAATATTCGAGCGAGTGCGTCGTCGTGAAACCCACAGACGGGCACGAGGACGTCGCGCTGGATGACCGGCGTCTGCAACCGGTGGGCGACCACAGCGCTGGCACCGGGAAGGCGACCGCCGAGCATCTGGTGCAGGCGCCGTCGACCGCGGGCTTGGGAGCCGGCACGGGCGACGAGGCAGCTGCTGTTGCTCGCTCGGGCGAGCGCTCGCCCAAACCGGGCGGTGAAAATTTGCGGGAGGCTGAGGTGTCGCGAGCGGACTCTGTCGCAAAGCAGGACGGCATCGTCGCCTCACCGTCTGCGACCCAGGGCGCCCGCGAGGGAGTGATCGGGGAGACTCGGCTGCCGCTGCCCGCGCCGATTCCGCCTGAGCCGCACAGAGCGGCCGACGATGGCGACAGCGACGGCGTGATTGTTGTAGCCGAGTGGACGGCGGGGAAGACGGCTGCCGCCTCGGTCGCTCCGAGTACGAGCGTAGACGTCGCGGATAAGCCGAGGCCTCGCGTCAAGGACCTGGTGTTGGAAAATCTTCAGAAATACAGGTAGAGTGGATGGCTCCCCATGTGTGTGGGTTCATCAAGAGCAGTGCCCCTCCTTAACTGGCCAGTTGCTTGTAGGCTTGTGAGGGCAGCTGGGAGAGCTAGAGATCAGTGTGCTTGCTACTGATCCACTTGGGTATTGGGTCCCTGGTTTATCTTTTTTGGGAGAATTTACAAGCTATGATCTGTGTTCAATGGGAAATGTTCATAGCCCCTGTGATGTAATTCGCAAGGATTGGGTATTGCTGGTTTCATAGCCTAAATTTAAAATAATTAACACTTATAATGTTCACAATACATGCATCAAAATCATATGTGAATGAATAATCAAATATGTATGATTGATAGAAATGATATCCAAAATATATACGAAGAATATGCCAGTGTGCCTTTTGCGCTAATTCAGCATGTCAATAAGGGTATATAGTCCATTCGCAAAGAATTATCATTGGACAGCCGTTTCAACTGTGGTTGAAATGTTGGCAACATATTTCCATTTGTATATTTTTACCACGAGGTGGCAGATGCGTAATCCAAAACTACACCATTACGAGAAAAAGCAAAATGTATAATGTTTGTACGTGTGATTTAGAAGTGTTATCTGCGTGGAACAAGAATTTGAAACTTTTATTTGGGGAAAAAAAATCGCCAGAATCACAGGCCTGGTATCGTATTTTTTTTTATATATGATACATTGATTTAAAGAAATTGCATTTTGGCAGGCCCTCTGCAGTTCTAAATCAACTTTTGAAAGTGTTGCAGAAGTCATGGTAGCACACCTGTCAACCCATACGGTTTACCCGGTATTCCTGTACAGTCAAATTGAGTTTTCAGGTCCATACGGCGTACAGCCGTTTCAATCCGGGAAATGTTTTTTGGTCAATTTGTTTGTGTTTCTCTGTTGTGATGGGACTTTGTAGGATGCACGTTGAGATTTGTAAGGGCACGGGGTGATCAAGGTCTTAATTTCTCTGTAATAAAGTAGGCACTGATAAGGGGTTGACAGGTATGTGGTATGATAATTGTTTTTTTACCGTTTTATCTGGCAACAAAACTGACACCTTTTTTTACAAGGGGTAATGTTTGCATTGACCACAATACCTGCGGTCGGAATGAAAAAAAAACACAAATCTGATAATGTATCCACTGTCCTTGAAATTGATTGGTCCACACCCAAGACAGCTTTTCTTCGAGCCTAGTCTCACATGGTGTTGGACCAGATGACGCTAAAAGGCGCAGGTGTCAGTTTCGTTGCCAGATAAAAGGGTAAAAAAACAATGATCCTATTTTGCTACTGGCAAAGGAGGTTCCAATGGTGTAAAAGGTATGTGGTAGGCAATTGGCAGTAGTCGACTCTAAGAGTCTCACTGGAACTGGTTGTTCCCAGGAGCACAGTTGACAACATCGTGCATCAGCAAGTCGGTATTATGCAACAAGCACAGGCACTTCTACGAGTGGATTATGAATGCCACACCGAGTTCTGCACTCGGCGAGAGCGCTCTCAAACCCTGGTGCGATGTGCGTCATCATTGTAATGGACAGACACGTTCGATTAGCCTAGCTCACACTTGGTGTCCAACGTAATTGAAGTCTTCTTCGTGGTTCTTTCGGTAAAGTCACGTAGAAGGAAAATAATGAAATAATAAAAATAAAGCATAATAAAATAATCCTCACGACGTTTCGGCCACAACGCAAGCAGCCGTCTTCAGGTGGAGAACAGGTCTGTCGAGAAGGCAGAGTCTTCAGAGAAGGCAGAGTCTTCAGACTCTGCCTTCTCGACAGACCTGTTCTCCACCTGAAGACGGCTGCTTGCGTTGTGGCCGAAACGTCGTGAGGATTATTTTATTATGTTTTATTTGTATTATTTTATTATTTTCCTTCTACGTGACTTTACCGAAAGAACCAAGAAGATGAATCCCTGCAGTCACGAAAGCTTTAAATCGAAATTTAATTGAAGTCTTTTTTTGGTGAGATTCGCTTCTGTGGGACATTCCTAAATATGAAGGGTTTCAGCGCTCTCTGAGAGATCCGAATGGATTGACGTGAAATCGATGGTACAAGCAGAATGCCTTCGTGTACATCCTGCATAACGAATAAGACACGACACACAAAGCCGACAACATAAATGAGACGGCACAATTGAGACAAATCTACAATCAAGTTTTTTTTTAAATCGAAATCCTGATCCACAATTGTGGCGAACAGTTTAATTGACAGGGGGATTGTTGGTCGTGAGCGTGTATTGTTCCATGCGAACAAACAGCTCTAAATCAAACAAACCGAAACCACAAATAACTTCATCTATCAGCAGATGGAATGGGTGTTGATGATTGTTAACCGTGGTGGTGGTGTTTACTGCTTGTGTTCGCAGGTGGCAGGCTCCTGAGAGAATCCAGCTTAGTCCCGACTCAGGTATGCGTTCGGAACACGTGCAGACCTATGTGAAATAACAAGCACATTGTCTTTTCTCTTTACTGCCAGGCCAGTTTTTCCCCTTATAACTGTGCTGTACTCAGTCCTGAACGGCTGTACCTGTGCTGTGAGTTTCTGACATTCCAAACATTCTCATTAAAATTTCTACACATTTGAAAATGCCTTTCTACTCTTAGGTTTTTTCGGTAAAGTCACGTAGGTAAAACAATAATAATAATAATAAAAAATGGAATACCTCAATTTATTATTATTTTATTTTATTATTATTTTTTTACCTACATGACTTTACCCAAAAAAACCTAAGATTATGAATCATTGCAGTCACGAAAGCTTCAAATCTAGAATAAATGCCTTTCTGTGGGTTACAATATTTTTGTAGTCCTTTGTGTGTTGCTGTATATCTATTTTTTTTCACACCAGTTCTTCACAGGGCAAGTTCGCTGATGCCAACACCACTTTTAGATCATCATTACGAGAGTGATTGGTGACCCCATGTTACAGAAACAAAGTGACAGACGGGCAATGCATCCTTTTGACTTGAATCGAAGAGCACTGTCACAAACGCATCTTGGGACAAATATTTCCACCACTAAATCCGTGAACAGAATTTTAACGCTTGTGTGCGGGCACCGCAGGAGGCACGGCGTCGGTGCTCAGCGACGAACAGCTGGCGCGGGTTTTGCAACAGCAGGAGGAGGAGGAGCGGCTGTTGCTGCTCGCTCCTGGGCTTGAGTATGCCCCCCTTGGTGATGTGCCCTCGGGGCTCTGCTTCTGCCACGTCTGCCAGAAGGAGCTGACGCACATGAACAGCGTGCGCAGACAGCAGCACATCAACAGGTTTGCCACCAGACCAAGGGGTGGGGGGGGGGGGTCACGCCTTCTGCACTGCTGCTCATGCTATGCCGAGTCCGTATTTAATAATCGGGTTTTCCCCCTTTTTTTCTGGCAACAAAACTGAAACCTTTTAACAAGGATTCATGTCTGCATTAACCACAATACTTGCAGTCAAAATGCAAACAAAAAACACACTATAATATATGCCTTGTCCTTGAAACTGATTGGTCCACACCAAAAGAAAGCCGTCCCTTGGTGTGGACCAATCAGTTTCAAGGACAATGCATATATTATCAGAGTGTGCTTTTTGTTTGCATTTTGACTGCAAGTATTGTGGTTAATGCAGACATGAATCCTTGTTAAAAGGTTTCAGTTTTGTTGCCAGAAAAAAAGGGGAAAAACCTTATTATTATATTTTGGTACTGGCAAAGGAGGTCTAATGATGAGTCCGTATTTTTTACATTCCTTGCATATTTATTTGTCACAGGCACAAGTGTTGGTGCTACACGTAGCGGCCAACTGTGCAATCAATGACATTTCTGTTTTATATGACAATGCAGTAGTGACGGTATATTTGTGATACCACTGCATATGTTTTGGCGGTCGTGCCGCGTAGCTCTACGATGTGTTTTCGGGATGTACTGCGTGTCGTTCGGCGTGATGTCCCACGTTTTACTGCAACACGTGCAGGGCTTCTGTTCACTTCCTGAACGCAATTGAGGCCCTTCCGCCAGCAGTGGCGTGAACAAGGGGCTGCAGGGCTGCACCTTTACCTTTACGCAGCCGAGAGACACGTTGACATGTCGTGTTGTCGTAGGTGTTTAGACGATCAGGAACAGTTGGGCCCGGGCCAGGCGCCGGCCTCCGCTGGTGGCGCCGGTGTAGCCGCTGCAGCGGGTGCGGCGGTGCCCGAGTGCCCCATTTGCGGGCGCCATTTCCAGACGGAGAAGGCACGCGCCGGCCACCTCAAGCGCTGCGCACGCGAGCTGCACGTGGCGTCGCGCGACCTGGTACTTGCTGTGCAGCGCCAGCAAGCGCAGGCCGGCACGGCGGCACCGCCTGCCATCGCCACCGCCGCCGCCGGCAGGTGAGATGACCAGGCAGCTCGCCGTGATGTGGCATTGTAAATTATAAGGTCCGCGAGAATCGTATCGTCCGCAATATGCGTATTTTGTTGTGTTTCCAAGTTGTGTCGCTGTGACGGATATCTCCAGTTGTGTGTAGATAAATGTTTTTTCTAAACCCATTATTATTATTATAACCATTGTTTTTCTGATCTTTATCCCGGCCAAATATTTTCAGAATTGCATGAAGGTCTTTTAACATTTCCTGAAATTCTTTCCTATTGGATGTTATAATTACTTTGTCGTCAGTAAGCCTCCTACATAGTGAATCTTAATGACATAAGAGTTTCACACCTAGCGTAATTTCTAGTGTGGCGTTTTTGTAGCCATAAACTGTTGTGGATATTGAAGTCACACACGGACTGTGATCTCAGCACCAGGATATGTCCGAGTAATATTTGAGAAGATTGTTGAGTCACTACTTGTGGTAAAGACAAGAAATTAATTTAGTAGACGTGATATAAACTGACGCACAGATGATCAAAACCAGTGCCAGAGTTTTCCACAACAGGGAGTGTGACATGGAGACGCTATCACTGGTGATTACATGAAATCCACAGTGGGGCCAGAAAGAGTGAGAAAGGCTATAGGCTGGGAACATTTAATGTGTGAGGTCAGATGATGGTGAGATCGGAGTGTCTGTGAGGAACAGGAGATGGTGTTTAGTTATATCAAGGGGACAATACATGGACATCATGTTACTTAAATAAGTGATCATTAGAAGTGAACTTGCTGTTTGCCGCAGTAGAGAAAACTAAAGTTACTATTCAAAGAAACATTATTTGTCTGTTACAATGAAAGCGATTAAGAGATGTAGTGGTGCTCAGGTCACGGGTATTTTAAGACATTTACCACAGACACACTCATGTTAGATATTTTTTTAGTTTATAATTCAGCACAAATGAAAATGCATAAAAATGACAGTACATGAAGTTTGATTTGAAGCTTTCGGAATCATACTCTTTGGTTCTTTCGGTAAAGTCACGTAGCTATAAAATAAAAGAAATCACGACGTTTCGGGCGCAACACAAGCGTTCATCATCAGGTGGGAAAGCTTGCGCTGCGCCCGAAACGTCGTGATTTATTTTATTTTATACCTACGTGACTTTACCGAAAGAACCAAAGAGTATAGTACATGAAGCGTTGAACGCCCACTGCTGCTGGTGTACTCAGCGTGCATTAGATTTTAACAGGATCCTAGGACAATAAAGCCATGCCTTCTTTTCTCACTTGGGTACTTATATCGTGAGAGGCTTCTGAACTTCACACGACATTAAACAAAATCTACAAACAATTACAGCAGTGAAAGCTTCTTAGCTACAAATGGGTTGGAGACACGCGTGTGCAGGCGAACAGAACTCGCGTTATGTATTTTGCAAGGGCTGCTGTGATAGGATGATGCTACAATACACCATGTGATATAAGCTCTACTATAGTCGTACGGTTCGTTTTGAAATGATTATTCATAATCAACGTTTTTTTGGGTTTAGATCACGTTATTTATAAATGTGTCGTAACCCTCCACCACCCGACACGGCCAATCAGTAAAAAAGTGTCACGTTGACAAAAGACAAATAGTTCACTGCTTTAGCCCACCGGTGTGTTGAAGCGTGAAACCACAACATTTACAATTTGAGTACGACATTTCGCTGGTAATTGCATCCAGCATCATCGGGCAATTCGCCAGATGACGCTGAAGCAGTGAACTATTTGTCTTTTGTCAACGTGACACTTTTTTACTGATTGGCCGTGTCGGGTGGTGGAGGGTTACGACACATTTATAAATAACGCGATCTAAACCCAAAAAAAAACGTTGATTATGAATAATATTGGTCGCGAAAGCCTACGTGTTGAAATGATTATTGTTGGTACATTTTTAAATTACTGTATGTAATTCCGTTATGAAATGTTGTTATGAAACAACAATATAATCATTTAAGTAAGAAAACATCTACTGATTGCTTTGGTGCTCTTGAATATGTTTCGTGGTTAAATTGACATGTGGTTATATAACATTATTTTTGGATGGCATGTGTGGTATGAGCATTACAAGGTTGTAAAGTGATTTGTGTTTGGGGTACAGATGTTCAATTCAATTTCAAAGTTAAATGAAACTGATATCGCGATAATAGTCATATTGCGAAATCTAAAATTGTATCAGAAAAATTTTTTTTGGCAACCTTAGTATTTTCCATAACTCTGTACGTCTGTGTCTGTGTGTGTCGGCTTTCGTAGGTGGTGGCTAACGGCACGTGCCCCAACAGTCTTTTAAAGGCTATACGGGGATCTTTGTATATGTGTACCCGTGTGTGTGTGTACCTTTGTGTTTGCTCGATTATCTGAACCAGTCCTGGGCCTCCCCTAGATCGACTCAGCCGCAAATGAGTACCTGGTGCGACGTGTAAACATTTGCCACCAGTGAGACAAAGGCGGCGGGGCGTGGTGCTGGCCACCCACCCCCTCGTGTGCCGTGCCGGCCTTCATAGGTGCTCGCCATTAGCACTTGCCCCTACAGTCCGTCCATTTCGGCTATAATAGGGCACCTTTGTCTTTGTGCGCTCGTTGGGCCACCACAGAGCCTTGGGAGCCGCCCCCAGGCGCAAGAAGGACAAGACCAGAGGCTCCACGGCGGTGCGAGGAAGGGGTGGCGGGGGGGGCTTGCCTTCGGAGCGGCCGCCCCCCACGGACGAGGAAGAACAAATGAGGGTTGCTCTGGCGATGTCGGCCTCCCTGATGGAACTCGAGGAGAGGGCCCCTCCTCGGAGCACGGGGCTGCTGCAACCCAAGCCTCTTCGCGACAAAGGTGAGGCGGAAACGGTCAGTGTTTGGCAGTCGGAAGGGGCCCGGTAAATGAGATCTCGTAGCACTGTCGTTTAGAATCTGAAGCGGAATATTTATTTACTTTGGAGATATCCGACGAGCTACAAAGCTGTTTTTCACAGATCTCCAGCCGGGGGGCGGGTAAGAACGTAACAACAACAAATGTTACAAACAGCATGGTAGTGCAAAGCACAAAATAGGTAAAAAAAAAAACCACTGAAACACATACAAATAAGGCAAAACCATCCCCATTTGACTAGGAAAAGCCCACTGAGGTATTAACTTATTTTTCAGAAGCGACCTGGCCACAAATGATAGCTCAACAAAGGGGCCCTTCATTTGGACATTTATAGCACCAAAATCATCTAAATAAGCTCAATGCATATTTCTAAATATTTTAAAGGGAACACAACCATACACCTAACTTTCGTTTTTTTTGTCGACGCATGCCTCGGTTTTGTATCAATGGGCTGTCTAATATGAGTTTTATGGCAAATATTAATGAGAAAATAGCCTTTAAAATGATGGTCAAACGCATAATGGTGGCGTGCAAGTGATGTCACCCCTATGCAGATTGATACGTCACCAATGCTGCCGCATCCCAGGAATGAATCTGACCAGATCCCTAACCGTTTAGTTTAATTTATACTTGTCCGATAACTTTAGACACCACACAGCGTGGGTGTACATCTATGAGATAAGAGATGTTTCCTTTTTAGGGAATCCGGTCCGCTAACTTATTGCTGCCTCTGGGAAATAAGACGTTCATTCCACTAATCGTCGCACATCTGTGCGAGGACAAAACTAACCACATAGTTCGTATAGCTCGCCAAAACCAGTGCCCAGGCTTGGATAGTTTCTTTTGGCAAAGAAATAAGCGAGAATACCTTCCGAAAATCTCCCAACAAAGTGTAGGCGGAAACGTTGTAATGCGTACCAGTGCGACGAGACTAGCGCTTTCGTAAAAAAAAGCAGACTGGCGGGTGCTGTAAGCGCGTGAGTGTGCGCGCTTATGCGTGCTGGTTTGCGAGCGTGTTTTCCTTGATTCGCTGTCCTTTTCTTGTACGGTGGCAACCAGAGGTCGCAACCGGGTACCCGATACCCGTACCCTACCCGATACCCGGCTACCCGTACCCGGCCGGGTACGGGTACGGGTACCCGTTTGCGACCCTGGTGCGGCTGGGTACGGGTACGGGTAGGCCGTGAGTCACTGGTGAGTAACCGTTTGTCACTCATTTTGGGTAGGGTACGGGTAGGGAACGGGTACCCATTTGCGACCCTGGTGCGGCCGGGTACGGATACGGGTAAGGAATCAAAACCCATTTGCGACCTCTGGTGGCAACACGAAGAGACCTTCCTCACGGCACTCGGCTTGACGGGCTCGCCCGGCTTGTGTTATCCTGTGAATACAACCAAACCCTCCTCGTAAACCAGCAACGCTCTCTCGTTTGTCGTCTCGGCTGCCCTTGGAACGTTCTTGACATCGGCGTGCCCTCGCCGCGCATGACGATGGCACCATTGCGTTGAAATTACAAAAAAAATGTGCAAGTGTCATGCGTCAAACTTGTTTTTTGTTACCAACGGCAACTAAGCACTCGTGTGTTTAATTGCCGAACATGCACAATTACGTCTCGAAATGGGTTTGGGACGGAAAATTAGCCGTTCTGTAAATTGGCACGTGTCATTGAATAAGTGATCAGTCGAACACACGTCGGCATTATTTGGAGATTCTTATGCACTAACGCTGAATGTTTATTCAGTAAATTAGCGGGCACTTAAATGTGTTAAGTGTCCTCATTTTCTGTTTAAAAATCGTGAATTGGCCACGCTTAATATAACACGCCAAATACGTTAAATATTTAAATTGTTAATAACATTGCTAAAAAATTAGCTCTACAGCATTAACAACATTAGTGGTGGCAAAGGAATGAAGTTACAATTTGATGGTCGCGAGCTCAACACCTTATCGTGCTTAACACGGGTGGGATTTCAACAGCGGTTGTGTTGAGGGATGTTATATTTCTGCCACTGGCTTAGGACTGCCAAAATAATCCCACAAAACTCCAACTTTTATACCGTGGGGTGTTTGGTTTCAAACCTGATTTAATCGCGGTGGCTTCAACCCAGATACCAACTCAGGTTCTTGGTAAGTCTCGGTCTACATCTTCTTGGTTCTTTCGGTAAAGTCACGTAGAAGGGAAATAATAAAATAATAAAAATAAAACATTATGTATTTTATTATGTTTTTTTTCATTATTTTATTATTTCCCTTCTACGTGACTTTACCGAAAGAACCAAGAAGATGAATCCCTGCGGTCACGAAAGCTTTAAATCGGAATCTCGGTCTACAGTTCCAACTACTGGAATGTCCTTCCCGAGTTGTCCATTCACCGCGTTTGAGTGCCGCGTTTGACTCGTGTATATTGTACACACAACACACCCGAAGACCCGAGTTCGATTCCTGCTCACGGCCAACACCAGTGACGAGTATTTGAATCGGTCCTCGGCCTCCCCTATGTGAACATCGCCACTGGGGAGACAAAGGCGGCCGGGGATGGTGCTGGCCACCCACCCACTCGTGTGCCACAGTGCTGGCCTTCATAGGCGCTACTCGCTAACAGCACTTGCCCCAACAGCCTGCGTAGGCTACACGGGGGCGTCTTTATCTGTGCGATCGACGTGCTTGGCAGCCGCACCCAAGAAGGTCCGCCGGAAGAAGAACGCCGACGCCGCGTCGGCCCTGCTGCAGGCCGATCCCGCCGCCACCGTGCGCCGACTGACAGAAAAGATGGCCGTGCTGCTGGTGCCGGACACGGAGCTGGAGCAAGAAGTGGCGTCACGTCGCACCCCGCCACTGCCACCCAGCCGCCTGCTGCTGCCCTCGCCTGCGTCGTCATCGGTGCCAGCGCCGCCACCGTGGTGTGGTTCCGTGGCAACGGCGCTGCTGTGGAAACGCAGCGCGCTGCTCACCGCCGACTTGCAGGGAGAGGCGCCGTTTCTCTGCCCGGCCCTGGTGCCGCCACTGTCGCCGGGCGGACCGGTACCAACCGGGGAAGCCCAGGTGTGGTTTGTACTCCATTGGGATGCGTGTGTGCGGGTTTGTCTTTTTTTTTGTGTGTGTGTACGTGCGTGCATTTGTATGTGCGTGCATTTGTGTGTGCGTCAGAGGTCGCAAACGGGTTTTGATTCCTTACCCGTACCCGGCCGCACCAGGGTCGCAAACGGGTACCCGTACCCGTACCCGTCCGGGTACGGGTATCGGGTAGGGTACGGGTATCGGGTACCCGATTGCGATCTCTGGGATGAAGCCATGTTGCAGGCGCGGGTGGGTTGATTCTTGGAACTTGAATTGTGAGAAGAGACAAGACGTTGGGAAATGAGTGACAAACGGTGACTCACCAGTGACTCACGGCCTTCTCACTCATTGGTTGGGGTGAGTCACGTGCGGCTACCCGTACCCGTACCCGGCCGCACCAGGGTCGCAAACGGGTATCCTTACCCGTACCCGGCCGGGTACGGGTAGCCGGGTATCGGGTAGGGTACGGGTATCGGGTACCCGATTGTGACCTCTGGTGTGCGTGTTTTGTGTGTGTGTCTGGGTTGGTGTTGGCCACCCCATGTGTGGTGTATCGGGCTTCATAGGTGCTCGCTAACAGCATTTTCCCCAACAGTCTGTTAAAGGTGGTACGTTGGACCTTGGTCATTGTCTTTGTATCTGGGTCTGTTCCGTAACCTCCCATCAGCGAGCTCTCGGCACTTCATGTGGCCTGTAGGTGCACTTAGCTTAGCACAAGTGCCGTGGTGATATCACTGCCACTTGGCGATCGGCGGCTATTGTGTGGGTTTGTACCTTGCGAGCGGGTGTGTGTTTGCGTGTGCGTGCATTTTTGCATGTGTTTAAGCGTGTACCTTATAATCCAGATGATACGGTATCATGCAATGGGAAAATGGATTCTCATCAAGGAATTGGTGAATATTTACAACCCCACTGTTTATGTGCGATTCATGGTGTGGCGGTCAGTGTGTGCACTTCTACTCGAGAAGACTAGGTTCAGTTCCTGTCCATGATACACGTGAATACTTGTGTTGCCTCCGAAAACGTCGTGAATTTTATTTTTTTATTTTGTATTAATTTTAATTAAATTTTTTACCTACGTGACTTTACCGAAAAAACTAAGAGTGTGAATACTGGAGGCAGTTGGAGTTCGTGGAATATTATTACCTGGCGCCGTGTTTCCACATCAGCACCTATCACACAGTGTGTGGCGCCGCCCTTAATAATCCATGGCTAACAACTTTTACTGCAAAAGCCAGTGTAGGATAAACGGTAGACCGTTGCTTTCGCGTGTATCCTTGCACAGCTCCCTTCGTGCATGTACGTGTGAATTCATTTCAGAAACAGCTGTCTTTCTCCGACACCATCACTGATGCGCCAGCGAACCCGGTCGGAGACCGAGTCTCCCTGCGGCAAACACCGCAGGATTCCTCGCTAAGAAACTCCCAGCCGGGATTGGCCGAAGGGAGTGTGGGTGGCTGCGCTGGCGATGTTAGTCGTGGAGGAGGTGGCTGTGGCATTGGTGGCACGGGTGGTGGTGGCGGCTCGTCAGCCTCCGAATTGGGCCGCTCAGGAGAGTGGCAGCAGGAGGAGGTGTCGGGCAGTCAAACGCTGCTGGCGCTGGTGGAGTTGGCCAGGGAGGGGTTGCCCCTCACTCAGTTCATGCAGGACTTGGGCGAGCCGATACTGCCTTCGTGCACAGGTCAGTGTGTGTGTAAGGGAAGTATACAGCGTCCTTTACGGCATCGGAATGGCGAGACAACATGAGGGATCTTTGGCGATTAATACTAATGATGCTGATGATTATGATGATGGTGGTGGTGGTGGTGATATCATTTGCTGATTGTGTCACAGGAGCCATAGAGGAGATGAGTGGTTTCCTGCCCGAGACGGAGCCCTGCGTCTCACCGTGTTCGTCAGAGCTCCACGGTGCAGGCCCAGCCCAGCACAGCTCCGCGGGACCCAGCCTGTTGGTCCGTACACACCCGGAGCCTCGTGCATGTAACAATCACTTACGGGGGCTGATCAAAACGTCCATTTCTGCGCCATCCCACAGACTTTGCAAGCGCTCCTCATTAACCATGCTTTGACCAGAATCCATGCATGCAAACCTGAATCTGCTGATGAGACACCGATTGTTGAAACCGGTCCAGAGGTTGCTGGTGTTGAATGGATGCATCGAATGATCGGTTAATATTCTTAAGCTCGCAATCCAAGCGTCGGATTGCGTCCGTTGAAATTGTTGTTTTTATTTTGCTTATGTTGGATCGTGTGACCGCAAATCGTGCGAATTTAATTGCGATGGCATTCCATAGTTTCGATGGGACATATAACACAAACCTCCTTCGTATTACAATTGAGTGGTGGTGCTCTCTCCCCAGATGGTGCTAAATGTCTTTGTTTTCCAGTCCTTTGGCCTCTTGGGTCGTCGTGGCACGACGTCGCTGCATCTCTTAATTGAGATAATAACAAAACATAATTTTCTACATTTGGTTTTCCCACCATTTGAGTCGTGCAGGGTTATCATGGAGGCCGATGTGTGTTTCACAGATGGATATCAGAATCAGAATCTTTATTTCGATTGCAGGAGGAATCCAATGAGCCTATTTTAAATTTCGATTTAAAGCTGTCGTGACTGCAGGGATTCATCTTCTTGGTTCTTTCGGTAAAGTCACGTAGAAGGGAAATAATAAAGTAAGTAAAATAAAACATAATAAAATAATATAATAATGTAATGAAACAAAATAAATATTTTATAATGTTTTATTTTTATTATTTTATTATTTGCCTTCTACGTGACTTTACCGAAAGAACCAAGAAGATGTGTAGCTCTTTTTCACAGATGTCCAGTATAGGAGGGGTGAGCAAGTTTTCCACCAGGGAGACTGTACACTCTGCGTAATCTCGATTGAGTAATTTGTGCATAATTTTTCAAAGTTAGCTCATTTGGACCACAACCCGGGCACTCAATTTTTATACTCGCTTGGGAGTAAGGAGCAGAATTGCCCTCGACCGATTTTTGCATAAATTATATAATCCCAAAAAGGCAAAATGTACAACGTTATTAATTGATGTAGGTTAGGTTATTTGTATTATAATGCCGCTCTGTATTTTCCCGATAAAATAATATTGATATATATTTAGTAAAAGTGGTGACATTTCCCTAAAAATGTAATACTCCACTTTGAATTGTCTGTCTTTCAGATAATTACGCTGAAATATGAACTTAATTATGTAATATATATTTAATAAATGTGAATTAGTGTAAAGTAGAGTTTTGTAACGTTTGACCAAGTAATTTTTTTTTGTTTTGACCTGGTAGAAGAAAACCATGGTCCTAGAGAAAACCGCAGAACTCGAATTACACACACAAGCAAGTCATCAACCTACTTGCTTTACTATCTCTTGTGGGCCCCCCACTTACGGTGCAAACGGCCAAGAGTGTGCCGGTCGGGTCACGCCGTGGCATCGTGTCAGTTAATACGGCTTTTCCCCGAGTGGTCAACACGAAACAATATGCTAATTTATTTATGCATTCTGTGAGCCTCGGCGTGTCACCTAGAGCCCGGGCGTGGGAGCTTGTGCGTTGAAGTGACCGGCAGTGGGTCTCTGTTCCCTCCTGTGGACTTCAAGTGTCCTCAGACGGATGACAGCAAAATACAACACCTGGTGCCCATCCTGATGGGCCCCCCCGGGGACGCAGCTGCGCATGATGCCACATCGAGCCGCGAACCCCGCGAGTTGAACGCTTTTCCTTTTTTCCCTGTTCGGACAAGTTTTAGTTAAAAAAAACATTAACGCAAACCTATATTTGGGAAAGTACTCGAACCATCTCCAACAAATCGACCACCGGTAGCTCTCACTGGCTCCCACTGACTCACTGGCTCCCACTGACTCACTGGCTCCCACTGACTCACTGGCTTCTACTGGCCCCCATTTGGCTAGCTCCCGCAAGCAAAGAGATATTAGTAAAGACCATTGTCATGCCCCCCCCCCCCATCGACCCAAAAAGCTAAGAGATTACGAGAAGAGGAAATTGAGTACCTTCTGGTGGAGACGGCACTACTTTGTGGGAAAACGAAAACATTTATCTGCCATAGGAAATGTGACTCGAGTAGAGATCGATATCCATGAAAGAGTGATGTGCGTTTGTGTGTGTGTGTGTGTCGTCTGTGCGGGTCGGGGTGGCAGGCCGCCAGGCTGGTGGCTGATCTGTCGGAGATGGTGAACAACCCCCACATGAGCGACGTGCAGCTGCAGGTGGACACCGGGGAGCTGGCGTACGCACACATGTTCATGCTCTACGCTCGTTGCCCTGCGCTGATGCAGCAGGTGCGTGTGCGTGCGTGCGTGTTCAGCTCATGTGTGGAATGGGTGTGTGTGCCTGTGTGTGTGTGCTCATGTGGCGACTCGAGCTCACGGCCAAACCCCAGTGACGATAATTTTAACTGGTCCTGGACCTCCCCTAGGTCGACTCAGCCTCAAATGAGTACCTAGTGCGGTGTGTAAACATCACCATTGGAGAGACAAAGGAGGTCGGGCGTGGTGCTGGCCACCCACCCCCTCGTGTACCGTTCCGGCCTCCATAGGTGCTCGCTAACAACACTTGGCCAAATAGTCTGCTAAAGTATATATGGGCGGCGGTGGTGGGGAGGGATATTTGACTTTGTTAACGTGTGTGCAATGCGCAAGTGATTTTCACGCGATCGCGTGGATCATCTGTCGGCATGCCGGCACACAGCGGTGGGTCACGAGACTCTTTTTTGTTGGGGGGGGCGGTGTGTAGGTGTTCACCGAGGGCTTCGACGCCGTTTGTGAGCGCGGGGAGGCCCAGGGCCGGCGTGTGATCGTGCACGACGCCTCGCTGGACGCCGTGCTCGCCCTGCTGCACTTCGTGTACACGGGGAGCCTGCACGTGGCGCCCAGCGCGTTGTCGGAGACGCGGGCGCTCGCCGACAGGTATTCTCCCGCGGGAACGACACGCCGAGGGAGCCCGTCGGTTCGCGTCGGCTTGCATTGCCTCCCATGAGATCACGATGGCTCCCCGTTGGATGGCTCCCCGTTGGATTCTGCTGGCTTCCACTGGCTCCCATTGGTTCCCGCCAGCTCACATTGGTTGCTGTTGCCTCTTGCTGGCTCCCATTGGCTCTCACCGGCTCACATCAGCTCCCATTGGTTCCTGCTGGATCTTACTGGCTCCTGTTGGCTCATGCTGGCTCCTACCAGCTCCCATTGGTTCCCAGCAGCTCCCCATTGGTTCCTGCTGGACCAATTGGCTGCCACAAGCTCCCTTTTGCCCCCGCTTTTGATCCCGCTGTTAAATTATACTTGCGCGTAATTAACCGCTAATACATTTAATCAACATTTAATAGCAATGTATTTTAAGACGTATGTTTTTAAACAACAATGTATTTTTTATGGTAGCCTTTATCGCTTAACCCGGATCCCAGAGAGGTGTTTCTGTATAGTAGTAAATAATAATAATAATCACGCCACTTGCCCCCACACAGTGCATGAAGCTGAATGCGGGGCTCGTTGCGTTGCGCGTGCCGAGCTGCAGGTTCGAGCTGAGCGACCTGCTTAGCGCGTGCGCGTCGCCGCCCGTCGGCGGTGATGGCGCGTCGCCGCCCGTCAGCGGTGGAGGGGGTGTGTCGCCGCGGCCGTCGTACTCGGGGGCGGCGCGGGAGGGCGACGCGGCCATACGGGAGCTGCTGCGCTCGCTCTGGGAGCACGAGGAAGAGGAGGAGGAGGAGGACGGCGGAAGGGACGGGGAGGCCGTCAAGGCGCGCAGGCACGACGACGACGACGACGGCGACGGCGGCGGCGGCGACGACGACGACGGTATCGGCGACAGCGACCTGGACGAGGTGTACGAGTTCGTGGCCACGCAGCGGCGTGCATGCGGTGGCCGCCACCGCGGCTCGGCCGACGCGGCGAGCGAACGACTCGGCTCCAACAGCGACAGCGCGAGCGGTCTCGACGGCGAGGAGGAGGCGGCGGCGGCGGCCGCGGCGTCCGTCAAGGATAGAGTGTCGGACGCGAGCGCCGCTCGGTCGCCCCGCGCCAACGACACCTTCGCCGGGGGCAGCTCAAGCGAGGCGGGGACGGTGGCCGGGGCGGCGGTCGCGTCGGCCTCGTCGGGCCCCGACGACTCGTACGAGCGGATGTTCACGGAAGAAGACGCGAGCAGCGAGTACGTGGAGCCGTCGCCGGTGACGCCGTCCGCTCGCAGGCCTCTGCCACGGGCGTTCGATGTTTGCGAGCGCGCCGCCTCTACGCGGCCTCGCCCCGGGACGCTCGGCGAGGGTTGCGACGACCCCTTGTCGCGCTCCCCCTACCGGTTCGGCCCCGCGGCGTCAAGTCCGTTCAGAATGAAAAAACGCTCGCCGGGTCGGCGGCGGCCGACGATCGGCGTCGACCCCCATTTGCAATATTCACTCTGCGAGGCTGAGCACTCTCACTTTGATCGCTCGCCCGTCCCTCGTCATCCGTCGCCCGCCTCGGTACCGCCTTCGCCGCAACGTCCATCGCCCGTGAGGCAGTCGCCCGGAGTAGCTATTCCACATCCGGTAACGCCTCCGTGCTTGACAGCGCTTTCACCAGGTTCCCCCGCTCTACTCGCGACGCCGTCCGCAAACGACACCGTGCCGACGAGCTCGCCCCACGCAACATCCAACCACCCGTCCCCCGGCCGCGCCGGCCGGTCCATTGCCAGGGCTCTGCGCAAGCAGCAGCGCCATCTCGCGAGCGAGTTTGATGCTCTGCTGTGCGCCGGCGGCGAGGACGGGCCGGTTCATACTCGAGCGGACGAGGGCGGCGCCGTGACCCCGGAGCCGTCGTCAAAATTTCAAGCAACATCCTCCATCGGCTCTTCCGTGTCGGAGACGTCGTCGGTGAACTTGCGGCTGTCCACCGACAGCGAGATTGGCAGCGGCGAGGTCTCCTGGCTGATCCCCGGTACGCCCGGAGCGGCTTCCAGGTCCTGCGGCTTTCAGACGTTGCAGTCATGCCTCCTCCCCGGTGCTCGCGGGGCGTCCTCCCCCGGCCCCGACCACGGCCACGGCCACGCGCTCATCGACCTGACGCTTTCCCCGCACGAGGGCAGCAGCTACGCCTCGTTGTTCAGCGGGGGGAGCTCCGCGAGAGACTCGGGGGGCGCCCGCCGTCGAGATGAGGGGACGGGCGCCGCTCCCTGTCCGATCCTAGATGCCGACGATGCGCCCGAGTCGGCCGTCATCGTGTTGGACGACTCCCTTGAGAGGAGCCCCACGGGCGAATTCCTTCTGCCCACGCTGACCGCGCCGGTCCGAGACGACCGTGTCATCAGCCTCGCCGAGATCGGGCGGGGCTCTCCGGAACGTTGCTCGCTCGGGTACGACCCGCGTCCGGACTCGCGCGACCTCGGCACGGGACGTGCGCGCGTGTCCACGTCTGCGGCAGGCGACTCGGGCGGAGAACTGTCGGGTCGTTTTCCCGCCACGCCCGACGAGCTGCCGCAGCGGACGCCCCAGCGTGACGGCGTGCCGCTGACCTCCGGTTCGGCAGCCTCCCCGTGGCAGTCGGGGTGCTTTGCCCGCATGGAGCTGAGTCTCAGAGAGCGGCTGCTGAGCAGGCTCGCGGCTCCAAGCTTTCACACCCAGGTGAGCGGAAGTTGAACCTCTTTGGTTTTCAGGTGACACCGACCCACTGAATTGAAGTTGAATTGGCCGAATGAATCGAGGGGGTTAACGTCTTGACATGGCTGTGAGAATTGTTCATCGACGGTGATGATAATTGGCGGCGTTCAACACTTGTACACCTGACCCAGTTCTAAACATAATTAGATTGTTCTGATGCTGACGTAAATAGGCACTGCACCAATTAGCATGGTTGGCTACATACGTTGTGAAAGAAGTTCAACATACACATATTAAACTGGAGCTGGGCTATGCAATCATTTAAGTCAGGGGTGGGGAACCTTTTTTCTGCCAAGGGCCATTTGTTATATAACATCATTCGCGGGCCATACAAAATGATCAACTTAAACATTCTCCTGTTATATTTGGTCAAACATTTAATTAACTCGCCCCTAATGCGATGGCTGGAACAGCTTCTCTTTGGCGAGGCGTGTGATGTTAGCTGGTATTGATGATGTTGCTACTCGCAACTGCTTTTCCAGGTTTGCTCCTAGATTTATTGAATTTCGAGTCCCGCCTGCGGTTGCCTTGGCAGGGCCACACCAAATGATTTCGCGGGCCTTACATGGCCCGCGGGCCGGACGTTCCCCACCCCTAATTTAAGTAATTGATTACTCTTCCGCTTATCAACTAATTGAATGACACGACGGAATTAGGAGAAAAAGCTTCTCCTCTGTAAGCTGCGTGCGCCACCGGAGACGCTGGAAGGGTCGGCGGGACGGGGGGGGGGGCAGTGACGTCGTCGCGATCCTTCCTCGTGATCCTAGCGTAGCTCTTTTGAATGAAACGCCGACGACGGACGGCGCGGTGCCGCTGCAGGATTACGACGAGGATCGTCTCGTGCGGACGCAGTGCGCCGCCGCCGCCGCTGATGATGGCACCGCCGCCGCCGCCAGAGAGGAACCCGCCGCGTCGCCGCCCGCCCCGGACATCGCCTTCGACAGCTGGAACCCCGGGGAGGAGCAGCTGTGTGGTCTGGGCCTCGGCTCGCCCGACTCGCTCGCTGGGGCCACCACCCCAGGTGCGCGGGGCGTTCGATGAGTCGCGCGTGTGCTTTGCGAGCCGCTTGTGCATTTGTTTGTAAATGCGGGGAGCGGTGGTGCAGCGGTTAGCGCGCTGCGCTACGAACCCAAATTTGAGAACCTTGAATAAACCCATGCAGAACAGGGAAAACATGCACGACGCCTCACAGAAAGCCGCCCAAGTCCGGAATCAAACCCGGATACATTTTGCTTTGAGGCGCTCGGAAATGGAATTTAGGCCCCGAGCCACTTAGCCGTCTCTTACAAGTATAAGCTATTTGTTTGAATCGAGGAGCACCTGTCATTGCATATTGTTCACCACTCAACCCCCGTCCCCGGGCCGGCCTGGAGTGGATGCATGCCCGCATTCAGCAGCTGCTATTTTTATTTGTGTCCTCAATTTGTTAGGGCACAATGCAACAGAGTCCTTCTTGCGATAATAAATTGACGTCGGTTTGCAAAATGAGCACTGTCCTTCTGCTGTCAGGTGCAACTGTGTTTTTGTTGTTGCTTTTGAGGTGGCCGCGGTGAGTTAGAGGGATACTGTTCATGTTTTCAGCCCACGCCTCCTCTTGTGTGTTCTTGTTTTGAGCCAGGGGTCACTTCTCATGATTATACATTTTGTGCTCGCGAGTTTGAGAGTCTTTCTGCTCAGACCTTGGTCACTGATGATTTTTTTATCTTTTTTTCCCCCGAATTATCTTGCAGTTGTGCTCTGTTGTCATACTATGAGATGAAGAAATGTATTTTTGGAGCAGTGCATCATCCCTTGCTAGAGAACTGCATCTGGAAGCTCATAATCAAAGGTCTTGCTGTTAGATCCATTCAGTTTCCCTTTATCCACCGTGATGGATGCCTGCGCTTTATCATGCACCTGGCTATCGAGTTGTCACATGACAGTCCAACCGAAATGTTTGATTAGTAGAGCTGAAATGTGCTACATTAAAGTCGAAACCCAACTTTAACATTATGGTTTTGTTCAGGCATTGCGGATGACTGGACCGAGACCGTCCACTCACTGCACTTGAGAACACACATTTATCCGCGGCCAGCTGCACAAGATCAAAACCCAGGATCTTGGTGGTTATGGCCCAATACTTTGCTGTGTGTCTGGACGGTTCAGGGGTCACTAATGAATTTGGTGACAAAAAAAAAAAGGCAATGACTTTGTGTTCCATTTTCGCTTTGTTCGCCCAGATGTGGATTGATGCACATCAATCGGATAAAAAAACACTACTTTGGCTCTTGGAAATATCATTGTCAGGATTAAATGAAATCTAGACTTAATACGATGGGATTTTTTTCATGCAGTCATTAGGTTACCGTGGCTGACATCATGATATCGGTACATCCGTCACTCAGCATGACCAGGAATCTAGCTTAAGTTGCCGTGTTTATAGGGCAATACTACTGCACCCACCAATAGGTGCAAGAGAGTTGTCTCAGTCTTGGAATATTTAGCGAAGGCGAACCTTTCTGTTTTACATCTTCCCCAGATAATTAAACATCGACGTCACCGGTATGCAAACTGCACGAGTATATCCTGGATTGTAAAGTTTCCTCTCGGGCTAATGACGGGCACATTTGCCCGTACACGCACACACAGACAGCACAGTCAACTTTTGTCTCGATTGTCAGTGGCCCTTCTGTAACGAGAACCTTTTGGGAACGGTGTGCCCGTAAAAACCCACAGTCCACGAGGCGAGGGGCGCTGGCAGGCAGCTCCAAGCGGGGTCGGCCACCCCAATGCCCTGCTACTCCGACATGGAGACACCCCACCTGAAAAAGGAGCTGAACAGGTGAGACACGCGGGGCCCTTTTTCGCCGCTCTGCGTAATGTTCTGGGTCGGTGATGATAATGATATCGTGTGGCCAATCTTTTCCTTTCATGAGGCTGCCGATGTCAATGCCGAGCAACAGCTACAATTTCACATTCGGGTGGACAAGCCAGATAAGCGCGTCTGGAGCAGCGGAATGTGTCGCTGTGACGTCTCATTCGTATTTGTGGATCGGGCGTTACGTCGTTACACGTTGCACGATCTGTTCTGGATGACCGCAGTTGCCCACTGGAGAGTTTTCAATTTTCCATTTGCTCATCGGGTACCCGCATCTGCCATGGTTTGTGCAGATGCGATTGACAGTGGACCGTGAGCTTCGTGGAAGATCAGACCCAGGCATCTTCTGTGTTGGGTCTTTTCACATTGGGGTTTGTTTGTGAGTGTGGCCAATGAAGAATAAATATTTAGAAATTCAGTTCCCAGCGATTTAGCCATTCAATTGCATTGTCCGAGAGTTGGTGAATTTCTGTATATGTCAGCGCTTTCCAATCTTTCTGGACCTGTGGGCCACTGTCAACCCTCAAGGAAAAAAATGTGCAGACCACCACTCGGCAATAAAATGTGAATGACTCGTTAAGCGCTGTCAATTGTTTTAGAAAATATCGTAGCATCTGACACCGTTCCACGGGACCACTTCCCACAGCCTTGCGGAGCACCGTTGGTCTGCGGACCGTAGGTTGGGAACCACTGCCCTTGATCAAAGAATATATAAGCACAGCTCTGCGTGTCCGCATATTAGTCATTGATCCATCGGTCAATGAACAATATAGTCCGCCAGTATTTGTTAACGCAAGCAAACTCTGGGCCCTCTTAGATTGTCTGCTGTCTAGTCAGAGCCATTGGTCCGCAAAGTGTTTCGCTTTGATGCGCTCCACAATTATGCACGAAGAGTGTGCATAGGTAATGTTCTCGAGCCATTTCCTAAATGCCAATCGGAGTGTGCATCAGGCTCACCGGTTGGGATTTTAAGTCGGAATGATTGATCGCGAGCACATGGTGCATGGCGGTTAGCACATCTGCATGATAACCGCGTGAGTGTAAATGCATTACCTAAATGAGTTTAAAGTCCTCTGTAGCATTGAGAGGTTTTAGTAGGAACACCCATGAATCTAAACTCTCAATGGCAAACCAATTGTTCACGTTTGTTTTGTTTAACGAGGTGAGAAGTCATGACATGGGTAACTAAAATGACAAAAGAAATAGAATAAATAAAAGTACGACGAGAAGAATCTAGAAAGCAGAGCTTAAACAACCAAATAGAAATCAGAGAAAAAGCAACCCGCATTGCTGCATGAAATACAAAACACTTGCACGAAACTAAATCACGTTTATATCGAGTACATTCCCCATGATGAAAGCGAGGTTGGAAAAAAATACTTACAAATAAGCCATTTGTAGGCCAATTGAGTTACAGAAAAAAAAAAAAGGATTCGGGCCGATTGATGCACGAATTTGTCAACAAACTACTCTGCAGTGAGCGCAAGACAGAGAGACAGCAGGGCATGCAAACCTGCCAAGCCCTTATCAGTGTTGCCTACCTTATTACAGACCAATTCAGACCTTATTGGTCACCCCGTGCCCTTATAAATCTCAACGTTCATCCTACAAAGTCCCATCACAAGGGAGAAACACAAACAAATCGAAATTTTTTTTTGCCTGTATTGAAACGGCTTTACACCGTATGGACCTGAAAACTCAATTTCTTTTTACACCAGGGGTGGGGAACGTCCGGCCCGCGGGCCGTGTAAGGCCCACGAAAACATTTAGTGTGGCCCTGCCAAGGCAACCGCAGGCGGGACTCGAAATTCAATAAATCTAGGAGCAAATCTGCAAAGCAGTTGTGAGTAGCAGCATCATCATCAACACCAGCTAACATCACACGCTTCGCCAAAGAGAAGCAGTTCCAGCCATCGCAGTAGGGGCGAGTTAATTAAATGTTTGACCCAATATAACAGGATCATTTTTAAGCTGATAATTTTGTATGGCCCGCAAATGATGTTATAAATATCCAAATGGCCCTTGGCAGAAAAAAGGTTCCCCACCCCTGAACCGTATGGGTTGACAGGTATGGGCATGGCCCAAAGGACACTGAGTGCAGATAGTGGCCGCCCACATATAACTGGGGAGCGGAGTGCGTCGGCTGGGGCCGAATGGAGGAAATTTATTCGTTGTCCTCAATTGGTTTGATATGATGTAGACTCTTGGTTCTTTCGGTAAAGTCACGTAGAAGGGAAATAATAAAATAATAAAACATAAAAATAATATAATGTTGTATTTTTATTATTTTATCATTTCCCTTCTACGTGACTTTACCGAAAGAACCAAGAAGATGAATCCCTGCAGTCACGAAAGCTTTAAATCGAAATGATGTAGACTGTCAGCAGCTTTTAACAGCATTTCTTAACGAAACGGCCCTTTTCAGTCATTGTTTCTGAAATACAAGAGCAATATTCTTCTCAACGATTTTGAACAAAATGTCATGGGAGAGGTCGCGAGAGGCACGAACGCGACCGATAACGCCCCCGGGGAACAATTCCTCTCCAAAACGAGCGTTGAGTAATGACTGCGTTGTGTGTTTAGTATGAGGTGTTAGCGAGCACCTCCTATGCAGCACTTGCCACAAAACTATGTTAAGGCTACATGGCGGGGGGGGGGGTGTTTTGTTTTTGTATGACGTCTGCTGCTGTTTGCAGTGCCCCTCAGACAAGCGGTCTGCAAGACTTTCGTGTTGTATAATGAAGACGATTACATTGTCGGGCAATATGAGTTCTCTCGGGGATGCGTAGATCGCCCTGAGAGGATTGATCTCATCGCGTAGTCGAGATTCGCTGTGGATGGACCGCGAAAACATGAAGGCAAATGCTCAAGAGTGTATCGCTCGACCATTAGCGTTTTCGTGGAGCGATATAAAGAGCATGAGATATCTACCAAGGGCACGTTAATGTCCTCTTCATTTGTTTTGTTATTCGAGAGAAGGTTGTCTTGTTTTATCGTCAAAAGCCACATCCAGAAATTGTACACTCTAGCCGAGAATAAGAAAACATTATTAATAGATTTAAACGTAGGCTTTCTTGACCAATTTTGTGATTCACAAATTAAGCTTCTTTTGGTTCAGATCGCAGAGATGTGTAAATTCACAACCATAAAAATATTCGGTTGTAAAGAAATTATATTTCTATACTCTTTGGTTCTTTCGGTAAAGTCACGTAGGTAAAAATAAAATAAATCACGACGTTTCGGGCGCAACACAAGCGTCCATCATCAGGTGGGAAAGCACGGTCCGCTGCTGCCGAGGCAGACTGTTTTAAAAGGTTTGAAATGGGAGTAGCTCAAGGATTATAAATCCTATTTTTACCACCACTAAATATATTCGCCTTTTTATTCAACACTTCTGACCAGCAAATCAGCTCTTAATGATTAAAGTGGTTCATCCGCATGGCTGTGCTGATGATGTCATGTGCACCTACTTAACACCTGATCGACGATGCTGTATGCAATCTCCAGCAAAACGTCGTGCAAATTTGTCGAAAATTTGCTTGCTTTTTCAACAATCTTCCATCTGGTTCGCCGACAAGCTGAATTATTGCATTGGCCGCCGGGTGTTGCCAGATAGACTTTACACTTCCATGAGAAACTTAATTGTGAATCGGAAAAAATCAACCGTGACAATTCAACCACCACACCGCAGGTCACAAAGCTTCTCTTTCCACTTCTTCCCCTCTCGCACCGCTCCACTTGGGAATTCCCTCCCATCGTCTCTTCCCCCCCTTCCCCACCCCCCGCCACCCCCCAAGCTCTTACAATAATAACGCGCTCTCATCTCGTACACTATCAACAATGCTTTTTGTTGCTGGCCGCTTGCCGTCATTGTGCTTTTGCTCCTGTGCTCGGCTAGCGCGATGTTTTTGTTTTTAAGAATTAGACTTTTTTGTTGTTATTGAATCAAACGCGTTTTTCGTTTCATCAGGTTTGGCGTACGCGCGCTGCCCAAGCGCAAGATGGTGCTAAAGCTCAAGGAAATCTACCACTACACACACCCGGGCCAGGACCCCAACCTAGACCCTGGGGATCGGCGGGCCGGCGCGGCGGCCGCGGTGGCGGCGGCACAGAAGAGGCCGCGGGGGAGAGGTCGCCCGCCGCGCTCGGGGCAGCCCGCGCCCACGCTCCCTCGCCCGCCGGTGGGGGGCAGCACCAGCGAAGAGACGGCCGCGTCGTCCGACGCGGAACGGCAGCTCCAGAACCAGTCGCAGGAGAGCACGAGGTCGTCACGCGTGTCCTCATCGCACACGGGCGAGGACTCGGACAGGTGAGGTCACATTCGCACAGGCCGAGCGGGGGGGGGGGGGGGTGCGCTGGGAAACGTTTCACACAGTTGTATCGGTCGCCTAGTGGCCAGAGTAGCCGCCGATGAACTCGTCTGCTTAAGTTCGACAGTTCTGTTCGCACCACCACGATGGAGTTGTTGCGGCAGGGCAGTAAAGACCCGTTGAGTTGTGGTGTCACAGTTCATTGAATTGTCAAAAAACACATTGTCACATTGCGAGCAATGACCTGTCAGCTAAAAAAAAAATCAGAAAGAAAACTAATAAACAACAAAAACGTTCGCGTGAAATTGACCACAGCTCTGGCAGGGAGGAATTCGCAGACCCGACGTTTCTCCTGGAGGAGGGCGTTAGCGGTGACGACGAGGAAGACGGCGGCGTAACGGCCTCCCAGCATGCCCTGCGCGCCGAGGAGAGGGAGGCGGCCGTTCTGGCGTTCATCCGTTCTCGTCCCGAACTGCACCGCGCCATGCTCCTCTACCGGCCCTTCGAGCTCTCCGAGCTGCAGTGCCAGATGCGCCAGGCTGGCCTGCGCGTGCCGGCCGCCGCGCTGCTCGACATCCTCGACGCGCTGTGCGTGACGTTCACCATGGCCGGCGCACGCCGCTCCAAGCAGTCGGGCCGGGCTAAGAGGGGCGGCAGAGGCGGCGGTGCCGGCCGTGGCAGCCCCGGGAAGCGCGGCAAAAGGAAAGCCAGCGTGACGTCCCCCCGAAAGGCGAAAAGGAAAAAGAAGGATGCGCCGATTTGATCTCGGCTTTCCACATGGGTCTGTGGGTGAGAAGCTCCCAGCATGTGGAGCGGAACGTCACACGCCATGCCGAACAGCGAGCAGCACAACCCAAAAACACATCGGAGAGCTGTACGGCACAATCGCAATGACCTACGCAGGAGCAATGTTGAGGCTGTCGGTATATTTCAAAGCCCAGCCGTTTGCCACTCGGTTTTTAAAAACCTGCTACGATATCATGGTGGATAATGCCTGGACTCCAGGGTCTTTCGAGGCAACAGTTGATGAATCATGTCGGTCTGAGAAACTCCCAAACCTTCTGACATTTGAGGTGGGCAGCAAGCGTGTTGTGAACACGTCCCCGCAGAAGGGAAATAATAAAATAATAAAAAATTAACAATAAAATAATTCTCACGACGTTTCGGCCACAACGCAAGCAGCCGAATTTAGCTAAATTCCTCTTGATATGCAAATTATTTCGTTTCATTCAGACGCTGTCTTCCCGACAGACCTGTTCTTCACCTGAGGACGGCTGCTTGCGTTGTGGCCGAAACGTCGTGAGAATTATTTTACTATGTTTTATTTTTATTATTTTATTATTTCCCTTCTACGTGACTTTACCGAAAGAACCAAGAAGATGAATCCCTGTCGTCACGAAAGCTTTAAATCGAAATAAAATACGTCCCTGCAGATTTTAAGAGCTGTCCTTTCGTATATGCGGGTGTTCTCCGGGCACTCTGGATTTCCGCTTAAAAAGCAACTCAACGGTGGAATTGGCCACTTGTTTGTAATCAAACGGAGTTTTCAGATTCAGTGGGCCATTCTATAAATAAATGACATTGTCATTGGTTTTTTTTTTTTCTCCCAATGGACCGCATTGTATATTACTGGCCACCGTGCGGCCGTGTGAGAGTGAGACCGACCGCTCGTGAGAAAACACCAAATTGGAGAACACCTCCAGCTGAGCGTTGTGCCGGCACTTGAAAAATAATTTAAAAGTAAATTGACGGCCTCGTCTGGAGTGAGCTGTGGCCCTCTGAAAGACTCATTATTTGAATGAAAACGTCTTAAAATAAAAACGCAATTCAGGACCATCCTGAAACAGAGTGCTATGACTCAACGTGGCATTCCTTTGATAAATAAGCAGTTTTTATTAAATGAATCCTCAATTGTAATTTTGGGGAATTTTTTTTTCTCTTAATGTATTCTCGCTTGTGCTATCGGCGTGACGTAATGAGCCGTAGAATCCATTTATAACTCTCACAAGGCAGTGCATGCATGTTCTTTAAGACGTCTACGTTATCCTTTGCGCAGTAGGAACCCCGTTTACCGCACACTGTTAAGTGATTTGTACATGATAGCCAATATTTAGTACTTCTCAGAGCTGGAAGTTATCCAAATTAAGTTATAAATATAATAAAAATGATAGTGTTTTTTTTTATGCCGTCATTAGCGACTGAGCTGAGACCCCCCACCACCTTGCTACCCCTGAGAATCCAGTTTTAATCACAGGTCACTGAAACAGATTGGTACCCGGGATCTCAGCAGGGCCAGCTCAGTGCTCTGACCTCTGTGTCCTGCGGTCACTTGCGCTGTTATCTTGACTTGCTATAAACTCGTGAATACTTTATGTATATAAACAAATGAAAGCAATCGTTATTTTGAACCTGAGCCCCAGGACAGTCTCCGAGAGACGAATGAATAGCTTACAAAGCGTGCCATTGACGATTGAAAGGCAGCTGAGTATATGATTGCTGCTGGGTGGCAATTGAGTCTCAGCAGTTAACACCACCAAACTCGTTGACTTTGGGGCAGAGGTCGCAATCGAGTACCCGATACCCGTACCCTACCCGATACCCGGCTACCCGTACTCGGCCGGGTACGGGTAGGTTACGGGTACCCGTTTGCGACCCTGGTGCGGCCGGGTACGGGTAAAGAATCAAAACCCGTTTGCGACCTCTGCTTTGGGGGGGAGGGGGTGGGATGGTGCTAATTTTAGGCCGAGTGGACCTGAGGGTGGCCATCATTGCTGAAGAAACGGATATGGAGCCCAAGTCAAGACTGACGGTTCAGAAAGCACACAAAATATATGTAAACGTTGCGTCTTCATATTTTTATTGGACAACATTCAAAAGTCGTTGCTCAAGTGACCTCTCTGTGTTTTGTTTTTAATATAAAACAACATATGGAGGACGATCTCAGACATAGATTTGCCTCTCTTCCCCCTCTCTCCACATCTCCTCTTTAATCTGTGGATAAATAGCATCAAATGCCGTGAACCTTTTTCTTCATGAATTGTGTTGAGATTTTGACAGATGCGCCCCGCACAGGATGTGAAAGCTGGCCTTGATAAAAAAAATAAAGATGAAATATAAATATCGCACGGGGAGGAAAGAAAAAAACAGACCCAACTAAACTTGTCGATGCTGCTGATAAAATATGTGAATGCGTTGTTGCGCTGGGGAGATCAATCTTGGAAGTGAGTGTGATAGCATTAGCCAGTTTTTTTATATTCCATCATCAGCGCTGCCATGTAATCGGGTGTTTGTAAAGAAGCATGGAGTCAATCAATCATCAATAGAGAGCAACCATCACGTTAATGCATTTTAATGTCATTGTGTAACTAGGTTACATGCTTGAAATATACAGAGATCAAAATTAACCTTTTTAAAAGGACTTTGAAACGTTGGTTATTTTTCACACACCTCTTTCGTTGGCGAATAGCTTGCCGACACGCACGTACTTTTTACTGACTGACCGTTCCATTTTCACGTCCGTCAATCAATGAAGGAGGCGTCAAGCGGGAGATGTACCGACGCCGCCTCCAATTAATGTTCGTGAAATTTTTTTTCCAAAATTTTACACTTTTTAGGACAAAAATATTATATTTAATTACCAATTGCTTAATGGTGCAATGCAATCATCTGACCCATAGGTGGCAGCCATCTCAAGCCAGAGGACGAGAGGACTCTAGCCGCTACGCATATAAAGGATTTATAGTGAAAAACTTTGTTTTTACGGGTTAATGTTTTAAGCAACATTGATCGCAGCAAACCCGTGTTGCCTGTTTTGCTTTCACCCTCGGTTCAACGAGCCACCGTTGTACAGCATGGCTTATGATACACGTGGGCTTCTGTGGCCTATTCAGTTGTCCTTATTACTCTCCAAAGCGTGACCTTTCGTTTCCCAGACAATTATGACTGATGCAATGAAATATTTTAGACCATTGCCCTTTTATATATATACACACTATCCTACCGCAGCCGAGCAATTATTTCCCGGCGTTCTCTCTCTCTGCAGAGTGCCCTCATCGTCTCTGCCTGTGCGCTCATCTCGGTTTGGTTGGGGGGGTGGGTGTAGAGGGTGGTGGGACAGATCGAAAAGAAATCGACCAGAACTCGTGGTAGATGAACATGGGAAACCTGCGTGCGTGTGGATAGTAAACGCAGTGCTTAATATCAACCACGACCGTCGGAGACGCTTTCGGGAAATGATTTGGCGCGTGCCCCCATATCAACCGAATTCTACACATCCATATTCTTGGGTTTTTTTTTGGTAAAGTCACGTAGGTAAAAAATTAAAATTAATAAAAGTTAAATAAAATAAAAATCACGACGTTTTGGAGGCAACACAAGCTTCCGTGTGTTGCCTCCGAAACGTCGTGATTTTTATTTTTTATTTTATTTTACTTTTATTAATTGTAATTTTTTACCTACGTAACTTTACCGAAAAAAACTAAGAATATGAATCCTTGCAGTCACGAAAGCTTCAAATCTAGAATCTACACATCCATCTCTACGTCGGAACAAATTTTTAAAAAAAATGTGTTAACTACTTTAGATTTTACCAGGTAAGGCCCGCTGAGCTATTGCAGCTCTTTTTCAGAAGCGACCTGGCCACAAATGATAGCTCAACGAAGTGTGGGAATTAGCCAAATACTCTTAAAAGGCATATTTATGATTGTGGAGGGAAATCTGAGACCCTGGAGAAAAATCCACGCGACCACGGGGAGAACACGCAAACTCCAAATCTACATGGTCCTGATCTAACCCACGACCTCGTGAGGCTGATGAACTTGTATAATCCACTGCTGGATGATGAAGTGTGCCCAATATCGTCAGATTGTTCGGTATAAAAAAAAAAATCAGTTTTTCTGTGGTCAAGCAGTCGTAATTACGAATGCGGCGACTTTGATTCACGCTATTGCACACTGCTGCCAACGTCCGTGTGAGACGCGAACTACCATTTAATGAGAAGAGAGCCAATATCGAGTATCTCATTTTGTAAGCAACACCTTGATATTCGCAATGGTATAATTGTGGTTATTACATTGCACCCGTCAATGATGGACAATTCGTAGACGTAATTGTTCGTGTGAGACACGAATTATCATTTAATGAGAAGAGAGCCAATATCGATAATCTCATTTTGTAAGCAACACCTTGATATTCGCAATGGTATAATTGTAGTTATTACATTGCATCCTTTAATGATGGACAATTCGTAGCACATTGTAATGCCATTACTCCAGGACTGGGTAGCCTGAATGACGACAGGTCACGTCCACGAGGCATGCAACAATTCGCCCTTCACCCCCTGAACCCCGGCGACCCCCCCAGTGATTCAAGGGGTCTCCAAGATTCAAGCGTTTATTCCTTCATGTCTTGACCCCCTCCCCTCCCCTCCCCCCTCATTTGTTCCCTGTCGCTCGTGGCAGTTTAGTTCAATCTCGTTAGCCTGACACGTGTTATAATATTTTTGTAACAATTTTTTTTTATTTTCAGCTACATAGCTCTCTTTTACAGAAGCGAACTGGCCACAAATGATAGCCCAACGAAGTAGCTCATCGTGTGGGAATTTATAGCGGACAAATACTTTGAAACGCACGATTCTAAACGTGGAGGGAAATCCGGAGGACCCAGAGAAAAATCCGCTCGAGAAGAGAGAGAGAGAGACACGAAAACTCCAAATATACAACAGGCGTCGGGGTCGGGATCGAACCGACGACCTCCTGTATACCAGGCGAGGTCGTTAACATCTCGCCACGGTGGCGCCCACGTAGTGTATGATTATAGCAAATATTTTGTAATTAACCGAATCTCAATGAACGTGGCGACAAGCCACGTTCATTGAGATTCGATGCATCATTAACCTGCACGCCTGGTCTTTTGGTGGTCACGATTCTTCGCAAAGGTGTTGTGGGGGGGGGGGGTAGTCGCGTGGAATTGACTTTGACTCCGAGCTGGTTCAATGTAGAACCCAAGAACCGCGACAGTGCCTCGGTAGCCCGCATGGCAGAGTGCAAACCGCGCCGTTTGTTTTGTCCTCCAAAACAACCAGACGTGATTTAGACTACGTGGTTCTCAACAAGGTGGGGGGGCGGGGGGGGGGGTATGCAGACCCCCTGGGGGTGCATGAGACGATTTATAAATGCATGAAATGATATCATACTTGCCGAGAGTAAATT